CACACCTGTGTCTGCTCCTGCACATGCACATATTCTCTTGCGGAGGCATTTTGCATTATGGATCCATGTGCCTGCTGTGTACCTGTGCATATGTCTTGGTCTTCAGGGGACACATCCTCTAACCAGAGTTCATGGCATTTCCTAAGTGACACGTGTGTATCTGCGTTCACATGTGTCCACGGGCTAGTGAACAGAATGTGCCTTTGTGTCTGTGTGAGCTGAAAAGGGAAATGTCACTGGAGTTGGAGTGGGAACGTGTGGGATTTTGGAACATTTCTCATTACACAGCCACAGCCTATGGGAGCTGAAAGAACCTTGGACATTTTCCAGTCCAGTCCTTTGTTTAACAAATGAGGAAACTGAGGCCCAAATCAAGAGGAAAACAGCCAAGCTAGCTATCACACCCACTGAGTGTGTGTACTCCACCTACTTAATCCTCTCAGCCTCCTGAGGTAGCTGACATTCATCCTCTTTAGTGATAAGAAGAGTGGGGCCCACAGCCCCGAAAAAAGAAAGTGACAAGGCAGAGATTTAACCAGTGCACCCAACTCTGAAGTCACAGCCGTTCTTCTAACCAGGGGTCTTCAGTGTGGCCAAGAGAGCCCCAGGGTCCTTGAGAACTTCCAGGGTATCTTCGAGGTCAAAACACTTTTCCTAATACCGTTAAGACATTATTTGCCCTTTTGACTTTTGTGCTCTCACAAAAGTACCCTGGAATTTTCCAGAGGCTACATCGTGTATCTTCTATTAAGCCAGAAATTAAAGAAATTTGCAAAAATGTCAAACAATGATGCTCTTCTAATTTTTTTTGCTTCGTAAGATAGTTATTTTCATTTAAAAATTTGTTTATGTTTTAACATATAATGAGTTTATTATTGTTATTTTAATTTAATTCATATTTAATAAACATTTTTAAATTTCTTGCTAAATATCAATAGATATAACCCACATAAACAAAGCTCTTTGGGGTCTTCAATACTATTTAAGAGTGTTAAGGGATCTTGAAACCAAAAAGTTTGAGAACACCTGTTCTACACCATGTTACATCCCAGGAGTGTGTGGGGGCAGGGGGCGGGGGGTGACTGTCCCAAGAGCTCATGGGTACTGAACAAGGGAAGCCTGGAAGTCAGGCCGTCCAGTCTGGTGCTCTTTCCACAGCAGTCCAGGAAACCAAGATCACTGGGCTTCAGATGCTTCCCCAGCTGTCCCCAGCCTTTGCCAGCAGGGGATTCTCTGGTCTGAGCTTAAGTCCATGTTCTCCCAGCCAGGGATGCCCCTGCCCTTTGATGCCCACTTGCCACTCCCCGTCCAGCTGCCCGTGCTGCCCTCCCCATGCCAGCGTGTGGGAAGACAAGCAACGGGAGTGGGGAGGGTGGCTGGGGAAGCTGGGCCACGGTCCCCACCCGTCCCTGGCACGGCTCTGCCCAGCACACAAAGGGCAGAGTGAATCCTGTCCCCTCCCGGCAGCTGAGGGTCTGGAGGGAAGAAAAGGGAGGCACAAAGGGAAGGGTGGCTGCATGGGCTCTCTGCCACCCCCAGTTCGTGGAGAGGATTAACCCAGAGACAGACAAAGGAGGAGTGTCGGTCCTATGCTTAGCTAGTGAGAGGAGGTGCCCTGGGGGGTGAAGCAGATGATGACAATCATGACAACTGGACTTTCACATCATGATGTCATTGGATCCTCACAACAGCTGGGAGAGGGGGACAGGACAGGCAGTTCCAGTCCCATTTCACAGATGAACACACTAAGCCTAGAAAGGCAGAATGACTCAATCAGGGCCCCAGAGCTGGCCTGTGAAGCACCGAGACCTCCACATACTGAAGGAATGAACTATTGGCAGCTAGCCAGGAGCCCCCTCATGTTTGGTGACAGTCTTATCACTGAATATAATCACACGTTGGCTGTATGCATGCTCTTTGCCCTGCGGCAGGCACAAAGAAGCCTCGGGAAAGCTTAATCCCAGGGTCGGTCCCAGGGCTGGCAGCCTGGCTGGGAAGCTAGGGCAACAAAAAGCTCCCATGTCACTCATGAGAACAGGAGTGTGTGCTAAGCGGCAGGTGAAAGTGTGGCAGGGAGGCTGGGAGATTTTGGAGGAGGGAGGGGCTCTGCGAATTGGGGCGGTGAGGTCAGATAGTGCCACTGATTCTTGCTTGGCCCTTTAGGATGGGTGGTATTCAGAGAGGTGGAGAGGCACCAAGGGTGGGCTTTCCAGGAGGGGGAAATGGCCTAGGTAAAGGCCAAGAAGTGAGAATGCAGAGGGTGGTGTGGGGGCGAGGTTGCTGCTCTTCATGCCCAGCCGAGGTCCCTCCCTCCTTCCTTCTCTGGGCTTCCCATCTACCAGATTGATGACAGCATCTAAACTTCCCTCAGGAAACTTTAAGGCACCCTTCCTTCCTCAACTTGCAAACAGGCAAAATGAGGGAAGAAAAGAAAAAAGAAAGGAAGGAAGGAAGCAAGGGAGGGTGGGAGGAAGGAAGGAAGGGAAGAAGAGCTGTAAAGCTTATGAGAACTACAGCCTAAGGGCATCCTGCAGGGGAAACTGAGGACTGGAGAGAGAGAGACCCCTTTCCCAGCACCCAGTGATGATGGCAAACCCTATATACAGCACCTGCTCAGAACAAACCCCACAGCTGGGCTGTGCGGCCCCCAAGATGCCCCCAGGGACCCCAAGATGCTAGCAGTTCTCCTTGGCTCTCCAGCTGGCCTGCTGCCCACCTGGCTCAGGCCCAGTACATGTGAGTCAGCCGATCAATCCTAATGTTGCAGGACAACGAGGGGCAGGAGTGGAGGCCCTGGAGGCAGACATGGGTGGGCACTGCAGGTGGGCTGTCTCCCACATCTAACACCTGTAAACAGCTGGGGCTGCACACAGCTGAGAGGAGGATGTTTTCCCCTGCTCCTCCCTGGACCCCCGTCTCCCTCTCTCACTCCTCCTAGGACACTTGCTGCTAGAGGCTTAGGCAAATATTTGCAGGGGCAGTCGAGGGGTGAGGAGGGTGGTGGGAGCAAACACTTCCTTCCCTCTTTCCTCCCCCGAGCTTCTCAGAGGCTCTCAGCTCAGATGCCATGCTATTGTGCAACCTGGAGGCTGAAGCCCCTCCAGCTGAAGAGGGGGATGCTTGTGGGGCCAGGGGAACCTGCCAGGGCTGGAGAGTTCGGGGTCAGCTCAGGACTGAAGGACAGGACCGAGGTGTGGGGGAGCCCCCAGGTAAGGGACATGAATTGGGGTGAAGTGTTATAGTTAAAATTAAGGAGGATAAGGATGTCAGGCCAAGAGAGGAGAAAGGTTCAGGGCTATGACTTACACACTCACGAAAGTTTAGAGGTGAAGGCACTGTCAGGACCAGCTGGCCCAGCAAGTAGATGGAAGCCCAAGAGAAAGGATGTAGCCATTAGTAGACTTGGTTTAGAAAAACAAAGCGATGGAAAGGGCTTTGGGGAAAGAGGTAGGAAAGAGAGAGACGGGGGAAGAAGAAGGTCCAGAAAGTGGATCACATTCAGGTGAGTAGCATTCTCAGGGCAAACTCATGATCAGAGGATGTAAAAAGTAGTGCAGAGGGGTAGGGTGATAGGCAGCCCCAAGCACAGCTGACGAGGAGATTGGGACACCATCAGCCAGCACATCAGCCCTGTGTGAGGCCATCTGGGTGTAGGAAAGAAGTGTCAGGCACGGGATCTGCTATGAAAAGCCTTCAGCTTGATCTCTGAATATGGTTTGCTATTCATTTGACACAGAAAACCCCCCAAAATCATGCAAGTCAAGAGGTTCAGATCTTTGTGTTCATTTTAAGAACACTTTTGAAATGGCCCAGGCCATCAAGGGTATGCATATCCAAAAGCCACCAAGTATCTGAAGGATGTCACTTTACAGAAGTGATGTGTGCCATGTCGTCGTTACAATGGTGGAGCTGGTAGGTGAGCCCAGGCCAAACAGTGGGGCTGGACCCAGGGTCAGTGCCCCAAAAAGTGCTGAATTTTTGCTGCACATGCTTAAAAACACAGAAAGTAATGCTGACCTTACGGGATTAGATGTCGATTCTCTGGTCATCGAGCACATGCAGGTGGACAAGGTGCCCAGGATGCGGTTCAGACCTTACAGAGCTGCAGGTCAGACCACCTGTGCATGAGCTCCCTGCCACAGTGAGATGAAGCCACTGAACAGAGCAGATCGCTCCTCAACCGGAAGGGGAGGCAACGCAGAAGAAAAAGAAATCCCAGAAGGAACAGAGAAAACAAAAACATATGGCCTGGGGACTAACTTCAGCATAAAACAAATGCAAATAAAAGTAAAAGCGGGTGGGGGGGGGGAGCCTTTAGGTTACGAACAAGCCTATAGCAAAGAAGGAAAAACCGCATATTAGTAAGAGTTTATAACCACAGGGGACAGAGTTTTCAGAATTAGGAAAAGAATGACTAGCGGCAGGTCTGAGGTGAGGTCCAGATTGGGGGGCTGCGAGGCAGGTGGAGCACTTGCAGTGAAAATCTGATGCTCTGAGAATTAATGAACCATGTGCCACCCCCCACGCTGACGCCAAGGCACCCCCGCCTTCAGCAGGGCCTCTCTGGATGCACGGGCTCTGCCTCCTCACTCCCCTTCTTGGAGCTCAGCCCTATGCTTGGGGGCAGTTCTGTTGGGAAATGTGGCGGATGCCCCACTGGGTCAGAGGCTTGGCTGCCTGAGAGGCTCAGCCTGGCAGAAGGACAGGGAAAGCCACAGGACGGCAGGCACGGGTGCCAGCAAGAAAGGCGGGCACGCCAAGAAGACACCAAGGCGAGAGGTGCAGATTGCCCAAGGGCAAGGGTGCTCAGCTCACCCAGCTTTCCTCTCCATGGGGCCAAGAGGACTCATGTGCCAGGGCCAAGGGCCCTTAGGCCTTCTTGAAGCTCACTTATCAGGGCTTGGGCTCTGGAGGGCCAGGAACAAACAGGCTTCAAAGCCGAGGGCTTGGCTGGCAGACGGAGGGGGGTGGTCCCTCACTTCTATCCCCTCTCCCTACTGACATATATAAGACCCTAGTCACACTCGGAGATGAGGAGGGGAAGGTGCCAACAGCAAAATGGATGTGGACAGCAAAGAGGTCTTGATGGAGAGCCCACCGGTGAGTGCGACTGTGTGTGAACATGCATGTGCATGCGTGTGAGAGTGTGCGTGTTTGTGTGCGTGTGTGTGTAGGCCCTGCCTCCTGCAACCTCTCTGGCCTGTTTCTTCATCCAAATTCATTCACTTAGCTAACCTAGGACTGTGCTAAGTTAGGGCAGGGACACCAACCACCAAGACAGAGTCCCTTGGGGAGACAGACGTGGCAGTGTCCAACAATTCCAATATGAGGGGCTGAGAGCCACCACAGAGGTCAGTGAAGCAGGCTGTAGGGAACACTGAGTAAGGAGCTGCGACTTGGGAGGTCACGGAAGCTTCACAGGGAAAATGACATTTGACCTAGCTCCAGAATAAGTAGAAGCTCTCCAAGTGGAGAAGGAGGAAGGCATGGCAGGAAGAAAGGGTAGTATGTTAAAGGCATAGAAGTGTGAGACAGCATGGATTTGGGGGGGAACAGAGAGGTACTGGGCATGGCTGGGAGGCCAGGGGTCTAGAGGAAACAGCAGGAGATGAGACTGGTGAAACAGGCTCTCTTGGGTCTCTCCAGGCTAGACTTCACTTCTAAGCATTTAAGGGTTTGTTGAAATTCAGGCCACCTCATCCAGAAATCCTTCTCTGATCTCTTCAACCTTCCTCTACATTGGTTGTCCAGCCCTGGGAGGGTGTCCAGCTTGTGCGGGGAGAAGAGGGTGCATCCTTATGACTTCACGACCTTACACCTGTCTCCCTGTCTGCCTCATCACGTCAGGACTACTCAGCAGCCCCTCGGGGCCGGTTTGGCATCCCCTGCTGCCCTGTGCCCCTCAAACGCCTTCTCATCGTGGTCGTGGTGGTGGTCCTTGTCGTCGTGGTGATTGTAGGGGCCCTGCTCATGGGTCTTCACATGAGCCAGAAACATACTGAGATGGTAAGCAGGCCTGGGATTGGGTAGGCAACGGATACAGGGCCAGACAGAAGGACTAGGTGGGCTGGGCAGATAGCAAACTGCCCAAGGGGAACAAGGGGAGGAGGCAAGGGGCACCTTATGGAAGGACAGAGGCAGGAACAGTGTGGCAAACTGGCTTGGGCTTCTCTACCGGGCCCCCTGGTATGACAGCCTGTTCCCTCCAGCACCTGGGTCCACCAAGCCTCGCTGAGCTTTCAGGGAAGAAGGAGTTGCATCTGAGTAAAGAAGACAGAGGGTGGGCATGAGTACCAAAGGGATGAGTAGGGACAGAGGAATGCCAGGCAGTGCTGTGCTCTCCCCAGGTCCTGGAGATGAGCATTGGGGGGCCGGAAGCCCCGCAGCGCCTGGCCCTGAGAGGGCGTGCGGACACCACTGCCACCTTCTCCATTGGCTCCACTGGCATCGTCGTGTATGACTACCAGCGGGTGGGTATGCTTGGACCTCTTGACCCTGGGGCTGGGGGACCAATAATAAGACTTTTCCAGACCCACCCAGCTGTGCCACATCCATCTCTCCCTGTCCCCCTGGGGGTGCCTGATCACCAGATTCCCATATGACCCCCTCCAGTACCCAACCTAGAGGGAGATGACCAAGGACCTTCAGCAGTATCTCCCAAAGGACAGAAAGAGACAGAGACAGTGAGAGACAGAAGGACTAGGGTTAGGGAGTGAGCAAGGCAGGGCCTTCCTGAATGAACTCGGGTTCTCGTGCTCAGCTCCTGATTGCCTACAAACCAGCCCCGGGAACCTACTGCTACATCATGAAGATGGCTCCGGAGAGCATCCCCACTCTTGAGGCTCTCACTAGAAAATTCCAGAACTTCCAGGTGGGTGTGTGGGTGAGAAGGAATGAGCTGTCTCCCTCCCAGAGCTGCTAGGAGGAGCATTTGAGGTGATGGCTATTTGTCACCCCTATAAAGTGCTGCTCCTTGTGGGTTGCCAGGTAAGAGCCCCTCAGGAGACTCACCTGCACCACACCTTCCCTACCCATTCCTCAGCTCCGCCCCACTGCCAAGCTCCTGGCTTCTGCTGAGCCCACACAGCACCTCGGAGCTTCTGACTCCAGCACAGTCCCCTCTTTACTGGTGAGGAAACTGAGGCTCAGAGAGATTGCCTGGCACACCTGAGGACCCATGATAAGGGCCGCAGGTGAGACAGAAACTCAGTTCCCAGGCTCTAAATCAGGGGCTCTTTCCAGGCCAAGTCTGCAGTGGCTACCTCTAATCTGGGCCAGGAGGAGGGCAGTGATGGTGGCTCGGCATCCTCCGGGGACCTGGACTTCCTGGGCACCACCGTGAGCACCCTGTGTGGCGAGGTGCCCCTTTACTATATCTAAGACCCCTCAGGTGAGTAGGTGTGACGGCCAGGGTAGTGGAGCAGCAGTGGCCCAGGAGGGCATGGGCCACCTTGCCACGTCAGCTGACAGGGACTGGGGCAGCCACTGAGGCCGGGTGAACCAGGGAGCTCAGGGGAGGGGAGGGTCACGGACACCTCCCCAGCTCTCTCCCTCACGTCATTAACAGTGGTCCTTTGTTTCGCAGGGCCTGAGGAAGCCCCAAGCGGACAGGAAAGATCCGAGAGCCAAGGGTCTTTTGCAGACAGGCAGGAAGCTGCTCCTGCCCGCACCACGGGGACTGCCCTGGAGAAGTGGGAGCTGTGCGGAGAGGATGGGCCAGGGCAGAGGAAGGGCGGCTCCTCGGACAGGGGGCTCCTACCGCAGAAGAATAAAGAGCCTGACTGAAAAGCAAAGGGTGTACCTGTGTCCTCTCCCACCCTCAGTCCGCCGGCGCGGGGAAGGGGAGGGCCTTGTGGGCGCAAAGGGGGCTGTCCCCTCCTCCTTCTGTCCCGGGGCGACGGGGGAGAGGGGGCAGTGGCAGGGCCCCGGGAGCAATCCACGGGCTTTAGGCGCCCCCCAGCGGTGTCTCCCGAGGGAGGGAGAGAGACAGAGACAGTGAGAGACAGAAGGACAGAACTAGAGGGACAGGGTGCCGGCTCGGGGCGAGCGCGGGTCCGAGAGGCCGAGAGACCGAGAGCCGCGGGCCGAGAAGCTCGGCCAGAGCCGAGGGGCAGAGCGAGGCAGAGGCGGCGCGCGGCTGACAGCGTGTCCCGCGCCCGGGGCCGGGGGGCAGCCGCTAGAGGGCCCCTCGCCCCGGCCCGCCCGCGGGCCCTCCCGGGCGGCCTCCCCGCCTCCCCGCCTCCGGCTGGCGCGCGGCCCGGCCCCGCCGAGCACCGTCGCGGGCCCGAGGGGCCGAGCTCGGGCGAAAACCCGCCCTCCAGCGAGCTCATTTCCCTCCCGGGGGGAGCGAAGGCGACAGGGAAGACGCAGGCGAGGCCGCGGCCGGCGGCGAGGGAGCGCGCGGCGCAGCCGGCGGGCGGGGCAGGAGACAGGAAGGAGGGCGGCGCGGGGAGGGCCGGGGAGCGGGGACGCGGGGGACGGGGGGGGAGCGGCGGCGCGGAGGGGAGCGCCTCCCCTCGCCTGCAGGGCTCCGCTGCCTCGCCCGCGCCCGCGCCCGCCGCCCGCCAGCATGCCCGGCGTGGCCCGCCTGCCGCTGCCGCTGCCGCTGCTGCTCTGGCTGCTGCTGCTCGCGCGCCCGGGCCGGCCGCTGGACTTGGCCGACTACACCTACGAGCTGGGGGAGGAGGACGACTCGGAGCCCCTCAACTACAAAGACCCCTGCAAGGCGGGTAGGCGCCCCCACCCCGCCGGCGGCCGGGGCGCGAGGGCCGGCGCGGGCAGGCCCGGCGGGCAGGCGGGCAGGCGGGCAGGCAGGGCGGCGGCGCGCCGGGTTTGGGGTTGGGGGAGGACAGTCCAGTGTGGGAAGCCGGGAGCTGCCTGGTTGGCAATGCAGTGGGGAACAAAAGAAAGGGGGAGAGAGGGAGGGGAAGTTTGGGGGACTTTTAGGACTGAAGTTTTGCCGCTGTGTGTGGAGCTGCTGCCGCTGCCTCTCCTCTTGCCGGAGGGTTCCTGGGGAAAGCTCCCGTCAGTCCGACAGAGACCTGCGGCCACGGAGGCTATTCCTCCTGCAGGAAACTTTTCTGGCCGAACTCGTGTGTGTGTGTGTGTGTGTGTGTGTGTGTGTGTGTGTGTGTCTACACTTTTCTCCCCCATCTCTGGCTCCAGGGCATTGGTGTTTTCCAGCCTGTCTGTATGGGCTGACTTGGGGCCCACATCTGTCTCCCAGGGTGGGGTGTGGGGAGGCCTGCATCTCCGGGGAGCAAGTCTCCTGCGGCCCCCACCCAGCCCAAGTGGAAGAAGAAAGTTTTTCGGGGGATCTGCTGAGATGGAGCTCCCTGGCCATCCCACAGTCCCCACCAGCCTGGCAGCTTTCTGAGGCTAGAAGACAGCTGTCAAAGTCAGACCAGCCAGACTAGGAGGGGCATTTGCCTCTGCCCCTATGTGCCAGAGGCCCCAACCAAAGCCAAGCTGGGGTGGAAAGGGGAAGAGCACAGAGAACTCCGATACTGTATATCCGCTCTCTCAGTCCACAGAATCTGGAGGCTAATTAGCCGAGGTCAGGGCCCCAGACTGTGTGTATGTGTGTGTGTGTGTTCTTTGTCCATGAAGACCCTGTGTAACCCCTTCACTCCTGCTGGGCCCAGAGGGGTCCTGCCCCTGGAGTGGCCAGATGGCCAGGCTGTTTGCCTGATCAGATGACCCCCAACAGGCTGCCTGGACAAGAGAACACACAGGGCGTAAGATAACAGAACCTTTCCTTGACTTCCTGCCTCTGACTTCAGCCTGTCTCCAAATAGCCAGAGCCAGGGCAGGGGCACGGTTCCTAGAGTTCTAGGAGTGGCACAAGGGGTTGGGGGCAGGTTGCTCTCATCCTGCCCCTGGGGACCCCTCTTTGGGTGGATGGATCACAGCAAACTGCAGGAATGGGAGAACCTTCCAGTGGGAAGAGAAGCTGGATCCCTCAGCCCTTCTTCCTCCTCCGCTGCTGGGCTGTGGGTAAACCAGCCGTTAGCTGTCATCTTTCTCATTGGGCTTGGGGTGGGCATGAGGCTAAGGGGACAGAGGGGGCTTTGGAGGCAGGTGGACCTACCTCTCAACCCTGGACCCACATCTCATTAGTTGTACACCGTAGGAAGGTTAATCTTCATTTCTGAACTTTACTTTTATCACCTGTAAAATGGACCTAATGATATCTCTTTGTAGAGTTAGTGGTAAGGATTAGATATGAGAACATACATAAAACACTTATTAGAACTTAACACAGTAAAGACTAAATAAATGTTGGCTGCCTCCACCCTGCTTTCTGTGCCTCACACCCTCACATCATTTTTTTCTGAAGGAATGGGGTTGATTTTCAGGAAAAGGGAGTGTCTCCCTGACCTTGTCCTGGTGTCACTTATTCATTCAACTGATCTACAGTTACTGAATGCTAATATGTGCCAGGGTTCGATTCTGTGGGAGATCCAGAGAAGTGTAAGATGTGGCCTGGCCCTCAAGGAGCTTGCAGTCCAGTAGGGCCGAAGCACAGGGATGTCACCAACAGCACAAACCAAGATGCGTCATATGCCACCTTCAAGGGAAAAGCCCTAAAGGCTTAAGGAGCCTCTTGTCCCTCTGCAGCCCTAGTAGTGCTGGTGGGGGAGAAACAGTGATCACAGCAGGCTGGGAGGGTTTGGGAGGTCTTCATGGAGGAGGAGGGATGGGGCAAGGCCTTAAAGAATGAATGGGTAAGAAGCCAATTTGATGTATTTCACTACTAGTTGGAAATTGGAATGATTTTCCGAGCTGCAGGAGGCTGAGGGTTCTATCTCCAGTCTCAGATTTCATGCTAGGGTGGGGCTGGCTGAGCTGGAACTTCGAACAAGGGCTCTGGAGAGAGCTCTCCACCACAGTGAAGGGAGGCTGGTGGGGAGCTGGGCCAGGCCTGGGGGTGGCTGAAACGTCCTGAGTGCCTGACAGGCCAAGATTCAGGGTCAGGTCAGGCCTCCCTCCTGGTGGTGATTGGTGCAGCTTTCCTCCCTCCACCCTGACTCCCGAAGACCCCACACCAACACCCTCAAGCGGCAGGTCCCCAGGCTCTCTTCTTTGCTCGTGTTGCCCTCTCCTGCCTGGCTTTGCCTCTTGCGCCCTCTGAGCCCTGACCTCCAGGTGCTGGAGCTGATGGCGGCAGGCGCGTCTACCTCTCCTTCCTTTGGATGCAGCTAGTGTGCCTGTCTGCCTCTGCTCACTTGATGCTCTCCAGCTCTCTCTTCCTCCTCCTCCTCCTTGCACATAGAGGACCAAGGATGAAAGCCTCATTGACTCCATCTGGTTCACCTGTGATCTCTCAGGATACCCAGGCCCCTTCCTCTCAGATCACCTCTTGCTATTACTGTCTGAGTTATGGTTGCTGTTCCAGTAAGGGCAAAATTAAGACCCTTGATACCCTGGAGAGGTTCCTGGATCTTCTGGATGAGACCAGAACAATGAGCGGGAAGCCGAGCTGGTCTGTGTGTGCTCAGAGCTGCTTCCACCAAGCCCTCCCTCTCTTGCCCTTGCCCGGGGAGATAGCAAGTCAGCCCTGATTTCTTGTATGTTGGGATCCCAAACCATCAAGGGCATCCTTCCCCGAGATTCCCAGCTCTGGCTGCCCCAGATGACTTGGCAGTGACGCTCAGGGCTCTGGGAGAGACCTTGGAGGCAGGAATTAGGACACAGTTGCTCCCACAAGCACAGACACCCACTAAGCCAGTGAGAACCTTACTTCGGCCTCAGCGGGCAGCTCCGAGGTCTGCCCTTGGCAGGGAGGTGGGGCAGTAGCTCACCAGCCCTCATCACCATCCTCGCCCCAGGGGCCAAGTTTGGACTTCAGGGGTCCTCAGAGGAGCAGATTACAGGCTCCGGAGGATGAGAAGCAATCCCTTCCCTCACCAGACCACATCCCCCTCCAGACACTCTGAATGAGTCACCCACCCACCTATGCCCCAGCTCCCTGAGTCACCTTCTCTTTTAGGTGCCCCAGAGGAGGAGGAAAAGACTTGCAATCACTCTGAGCTCCAGCTGCAGGGGGACCAATGGGACTCCCCAGGAAGAAGGCACTCTCAAAAATTCTAGTTTCTCAAGAGATCTGGGGAGAAGATTTAGGGGGAGGAGGGGGAGGAAGTAGAATGTGTCATTCCTCAGGCCACTAAGGAGTTACTAAGTGTCTCCAGGGTAATCGGCTAATCTTCCCCACCCCTCCTCTCTCTCCCTCCCCTCTCCCCTTCTCCCCTCTGTCCATTTCTACGGGGCAGGGCAGGGCAAGGTGCCCTCTCCTTTGGGGAGTATGGCCTGTGAAATGCAGTTCTCTGGGTTTGAAAACACTAGGGCTTGCACAGGGAAGTAGTCCCAGAGTGTGTTTTTGTACATTTGCAGATATGCCCCTGCTTTATGGGCAAGTCTGTTTAACTGTGCACGTGGGTACTCCTGAGTACATGTAAGTGGACGTACAAACATGCACCTGTGCGTAAGTGTACATGTGTCATTAAGTACATGCAAACATTTGCAGGAGCTCGAGCATGTCCTCCCCCAGCTAGAAGCTTGCACTGGTGTGATGGGACGTTCTATGCTGGGTACACATGGTGCTCTTGGGATTTCAACACACCAGCCACGCTCCTCTGGTTCCCCCCAGCAGGAGATGCCTTGCCATGTCCAAGGACGAGACTCTGGAGTCAAGAAGCTGACCTGGAGGATGGGCACATGGGGTCCAGCTTGCTCTCTTCTTTCCTCTTCTGCTCCAGGGGTCTGGCTGTGGAACAGCCATGAGTGTTCCTGGCTGGTTTACAGCCAGAAAACAAAACAAAAACTTTTGATCCCGTGTTGAAAATAACTACTACCCTGACCCTGACCCCAGGGCTTCCTTCCGTGTAAGGAGGGGTGTCCTGGACTCTCCAGCATCCAGATTCCTTAAGGAATCTTAGCTTCCCTAAGGAGAATCCCAAATAGGCAGAGCCTTCAGGCCCAGCTCGTGGCCATGAGGCGCTCCTGCCCACCTCATCTCTCTCCACCCCCACTCTGTTCCCACGCATTCTTCAGCCATGACATCCCTACCACAGGGGCGCTTGTTCCACGGATGAGCTCTGCGGCCAGCCCTGGGGCCCGTCCCGCCTTCCCCTTGCCCTGCCCTCCACACTGCCCTGGTCCCCCAGGCCCGCACAGTTCTGTGAGCTCTGTACTTGGAATTTGAGGTTCTGCTTCTGAGCACTCCAGGGCTGTACTCAGCTGGGAGGTCAACGTGGGTGAGCCAGTATGTCTCTGGAAAGTAGAGAGCTGAACTGGAGCTTCCGGAGCTGTTCCTAGGGTAGGATTAGCAGTGGCCATTTAGTGGGTGCTCTCTGTACTCCAGGCTTTGTGCTGTACTTCATGCAGTAGTCCTAGGAGACAGAGTCCATTATTAGCTCCCTTTTATGTGGGAGAAAACTGAGGTTTAGCAGAGTTTATATGACTTGTCACCTAGAAGTACCCAAGCTGGGATTCAAAGGCAGGTCTGTCTGACTCCAAAGACCTTACTCTGCTGTGTCCAAAGACAAGTCTGCGGGTCCAACCACATGCGTATATGGTGATCCTGTGGGCACAGGTGCGTGAGCCTGCAAGTGCAGTGTCTGTGCAAAGTGTGCAAAGGCGTAGGGTGTTCATGTGGCACATGCCCACCTGTGTGAACCCACCACTGCCTCCTTGGAGTGTCCCTCTCATCCCCAGCCTTCTAAGGCCACCCTTGCATGTCAGCTGAGAAGCATCCTCTGTTGCTGTTCCATCAATAGCTGAGCCAAGGCCACCAAAGGTGACGTTTTAAGTAAGAGAATCTTTCTCACGTGTTGGAAGAGATTCTGGGCCACCTACCAGCTGGTGACCTTGGGCAAGTCATTTCCCCTCTTGGGCCAAAGTGTTTTGATCTCTAAAAGTCAGGGTGGTGGGCTAGAATCTAGCCACTAGGTTCTCTCTCCAGGAGTTTGTAATGGGACACTCCTAGGCAAAGGCATGGGCAGAGTATGGCGTAACAGGCATGTCCTGGGTGGGTCGGGGCTAAATGAATTCGTTCATGTGAAAGCACTTTGTCCGCTGGAAAGCATCACATAAATTTCCACAGACATTTACATAAGGTGCCATTGTTGCTGCTATCACTGGCTTAATGGGTTTGGAGCTTACTGTTGGTTTGTGTGTGTTGGAGCTTGACGTGTGTTTTTGAGGACTGTCTGTGACTCTGTGTATTTTTTGTGACTAGGTGTATCTGAGTGAGTGTCTATTTTTGTGTATATGTATTTACAATACGGGCTCTATAGAGGTAATGAACTTGAGTGCAGTGGGTACTGACTGGGAATCAGGGAGGCCTGCATTATAAATCCAGCCTTTCTAGTGACTAGCAGTGTGGTCTCAGTTAAATTATTTCCCTGCTGGGCCACAGTTTGCACATCTGTAAAATGGAAGCTTAATAACTGCTAACTCAACTCTAAGTCACATCTGTAGAAGAGTGTGTGTCTGTGGGCGTGTGTTTGCAGGCCTGGAGAATATCAATGTGGTCCTTGACTCAAACAAACATAATGGAGTACCTTCCACCTGAAAGGGCAGTGTGGGCACTGCTTGTATGTGCAGGGATGTCTCTGTGACTTCGCATAGCTCCGTGTTCAATGGCGTGGGTGTGGATGTCACCATGTGTCTGTAGGAGCACTAACCCCATGTGTCTGATTCTGTGTGTGTGTGTGTGTCCACCCAGTGGGCCATCTGGGGAGGAGCAACCTGTGTACAAGGCCTCAAGGTTAAAACAATTTGTGTAATGCCGCCCCCAGGCCTATGTAGCGCTCGGGATGAGAAGCAGATGTCGCCCTGGCTGGAGCTGCAGGGAAACTGCTCTCTGCTCCACCTCCAGCACAGCCTCCCGTCCCCCCAGCCCAGTGCAGCGTGCAGCTCACATCTGAGCTCCTTCCAAAGCACTCAGCTCCACGACTTCTCTTTTCTCCTGCTCCCAACTTCTCAAGAAGCAGATGGACGGTTTAGCCCATCTCTCTGGAAACATCTCCCCCATCTTCAGAGATCAAAATGGCCTAGAGGGGGCTTTCTCCCCCAGGCTTTTCTTCCTCCAGACAGGGAACCCTGAGACACAGAATCAGAGTCACTTGAGAATTGTCAAACCTTTTTCTCCTGGCTAGGGAGCTCCCATTATGTGTCCTGGTTTCTCTGATATGCCCATCTGCTCCCATTTTCACTCACAGCCTCCCCTCGATGTAATCGAAACAGCGTTTGTTGAACTACATGCTCGGCACGGTGCCAAAGTTGTGGGCCCACAAAGTAGACACTTTGTCATCTTGCCCCTTGTATTTCCTTCATAGCTCCTGTCTCTATCTGGCATTCTTGAGTTCTGTATTTGCTTGCTTGTGTTTTGTTGGAGCTTAGTTCCACTCGAGCAGGGACCTTTCCTGTCTGCTAACCACTGGAGTGGTGCCTGGCCCACAGGAGGTGCTCACTAAGTATTTGCTAAAGAATGATGAAATAAACGACATGACCATGTCTGGGTAGAGCTAACAGTCTGGCAGGGGTTGGGCTTCAGCTTTGCTGAGATTCCACCTAAAAAGTGAGCCTGAGTCTCCCAAGAGATCCTCGAAGCCAGTCCCCCACTGCCCTCCTCCTTCCTCAGAAGACATTTGAAGATTAAAGTTGCTATGGGGGCCAGGAGGTGTGCCCACGGGGTCGGGCCCGTCAGTGCTGGATAGGAGGACTAACTCGGCCCCTGGCTTCTTCTTTTCTCTCTAGTTGCCTTCCTTGGGGACATTGCCCTGGATGAGGAGGACTTAAGGGCCTTCCAGGTACAGCAGGCTGTGGATCTCGGACAGCAAGCAATCCGCAGGTCTTCCATCAAAGCTGCAGGTACATTGGGTACAGGCTGGCCCTCCTATGTCCCAGACATAGGTTCCAGGATTGGAGAAACAAGGAATCTCCCTGTTCCCAGCCAGGCCTTCCCAGGACAGAGGCCATGAGCTTGAATCCAGCATAAGGGCTTGTCTTCCCTTGGGATGTCTTCATCCCTTCTCTAGAGGAGTAGCAAGTGTAGACATATCCAGGAGCGAAGAACTGACATTCTTTTTGCTTACAGCTTGTAAAGTACTTTCAAAAGCATTATCTAACTTGGCTGTCCCCAGCCACCTTCAAAGGTAGGTATGAGAACAACTCCTGCGTACAGACACAAAACTAAGATTCACGGAGGTAATGTGACTTGCTCAAGATCACAAAGCTAGAGGCCAGCCCCGTGGCAAAGTTGTTAAGTTCCTATACTCTGCTTCAGCAGCCCAGGGTTTCACCGGTTCAGATCCTGGGTGCGGACACGGCACTGCTCGACAGGCCATCCTGAGGCGGCGTCCCACATGCCATAAGTGGAGGGACCTACAAGTAGAATATACCACTACTTACTAGAGAGCTTTGGGAAGCAGAAGAAGGAAAAAAAAAGAAGATTGGCAACAGATATTAGCTCAGGTGCCAATCTTTAAAAAAAAAGATCACATAGCTAGTCACTGGCGGAGCTGGGACAGGAACCAAAGCCTCTCACCCCAGATCCGAGGCCCGTCGCTCAGCACCGCAGTCCCTCCTGGCTTCTCCTTCTGCTTCCACTTTGCAAGCTTCTATGCATTCTTCAAGTCCCACCCACCTCAAGAGCTTCTCTTGTGAAATCTTCCCTGATCGTCCCCCAGACATGACTGTACCTCCATTTTCTGTGTTCTCTGCTCCCTGCGTACACTCTTGGCATCTCGCTCATCGTACTATATTGCAATGATTTGTTTATATGTCTCTCTCCCCAGCTGGACTCAAAGCTCTTCAAGGTCAGGGATGGGTCCTTCTTATCCCTGGGTGTGGTCCAAGCATCTAACAACCCACCTGGCACTTGTGAATGGTGAGGGAATGGGAAGAATGAGGGCTGAGCTGGCTCAGTTCTCACTGCTCTGGAACATGGTCCTGCCCACAGGTAGCTCTCCTCTTGCTGAAGGGCGGGGATTCTCACCTGTGGCCTGTTCTGGGCATACTCTGGTGGTGCCAGGCAGTTGTCCTGCCCAATATGAGGGAGGATCCTGGCATGGGCAGCTCGTGGAGGAAAGGCCAAACTACACCAGAGAGCTGCTGGCTATGGAGGGTGACCTGGTGGCCTGGTAGCTAGCACTCCTTCCTTGACCTTAGTGGGGACCCGTAGACATAGTACAAGGGGAAAGCAGGATATAGGAGTCGGATCACCCAGGCCTGCCATTAACCCACCGTGTGACCCTGGCAGTTCTTTGACCTTAGTTTCCTCATCTGTCAGGTGTAGATAGTGACACTTGCCCAGTCCCCCTCGGAAAGCCTGTGTGTCAAATGAGAATATGTATTTGAGAACACTTAAAGAAGACATCAAGTTCTGTACGCTCCACACATATGAAGGTTTATTACAGGAGAAGGGAACGTTTCCTATGCTCAGGTGCCCCACAGTTCCTAGGAAACGAGGACACCATTGTTCTCTTTTTCAATTACGTCAATTCTCGCTATTCCTGGAAGTTATGAATGGACTTAGAAAATACCCTTATTCTGTAAAGTCACTGTGAACACTGAATTCGTGAATACTGAGCCATCACTCATAGGGAAAATACAGGGGTAAGTTCCTGTGAGCCTGTGGTCACATTTTCATCAACTCATCAGTACGTAACCCTGTCTCATGTGTGTCTCTGTTTAAAGACACCTTATTTAATACGTAGGTGACTCAGTAAATTGAACTCATGGCCCACAGCACTGTAGCTCACGCCTGAAGGAAGCTTCTCTAGCCCACGTGTTCTCTCCACAAGGCGCATCCCCGCCTTCCTGCACTGAGGATCACTATACCACGCTTCAGCACTGCAGCGGGGGGGAGGCAATTGAAACAGTGAAATCACCAAGAAAAAGCACAAAAATGCAAAAATTGTGGCACAAAATAGACTGTGACAAAGATGCTTATTTACAGTATGAGAGCCGAAACACGAAGGCGGAGTGTTGCATGTTCAGCCTCAGCTGGGAATGTGTGCGTTGAGCAACTCCGCTGTTTCACTGCTCTGCGCATGTCAGCAAATGACCAGAATGGCTGAGGGTGCTGATTTGGGGGTTACGGATAAGTTTCAGTGAGTGGGCAAATATGGAGCCCTCAAATAATGAGGATTGATTATAATTTGCTTCCCCCCCTTCTCCTCTTCATTCACTTGCTACCAATGTCTGCTTCTTTCGATTTCAGAAAATTCTTCTACCCCCATCTGCCAGAGCACTAGTGGGCAGCCTCAGAGGAAAAACCGTGGGAGATGGAGAAGCAGGTCCCGGAGCCGGCGGGCAGCAACATCCAGACCAGAGCGTGTGTGGCCCGATGGGGTCATCCCCTTTGTCATTGGGGGAAACTTCACTGGTGAGCGTGGTGTTGGGAGGTCCTGGGAGCAGCCTGCATCTGGGCCTGGCCTTGGGGCAGCCCTGTTGTGCATGGTAGTATGAGTGGTACCGTCAGCCTGTCTGTCCAGTGAGTGGCTGCCACTCTTTAGCAATGGGTGGAGGTGGGCTCACCTGGATACTGTGACAGCCTAGCCTTCTTCATCCTGGCAGGCAGCCAGAGGGCAGTCTTCCGGCAGGCCATGAGGCACTGGGAAAAGCATACCTGTGTCACCTTCCTGGAGCGCACTGATGAGGACAGCTACATTGTTTTCACCTATCGACCCTGCGGGTGAGCAGGAGCCCCTGGACACTGCACCCTCAGCCGTCACCCCAACCCGTGCTCTGTCCTGGGCACTGCAGCTGCCCTGTCTGGGCAGAGCCCAGCATCATCTGTCCCCTCCTGCCGTGGGGCATCTCCCCCGGAACCCCTCCCAGATGTGGCTATGACCCCAGCACACAGCCTGGGCACCCTGCACTCAGGCTCCTCCCCACCCCTCCACTCCCCCACCCCCCTGGCAGCCTCGCCCGGCCCCTGAGTGGATGCACTCCCCCAGCTCGGGACCGCCCCCCTGAGCTGGCCCCGCCCTCCAGGTGCTGCTCCTATGTGGGTCGCCGTGGTGGGGGCCCCCAGGCCATATCCATCGGCAAGAACTGTGACAAGTTTGGCATCGTGGTTCATGAGCTGGGTCACGTCATTGGCTTCTGGCACGAGCACACACGGCCAGACCGGGACCGCCATGTCTCCATCGTGCGTGAGAACATCCAGCCAGGTACACACCTCTACCTCATGGGAGGTGGGGCCACGCTCTCTGGGAGGGTGGGAGCTGCTCCCTGGAGCCATCACTTTTGGTCAGCTCAGCCTTACATTCCCAGCTGGCTGGGTAGTCCCAGCCCTGCCCAGGGCCCAGGTTGGTCCAGACCCTGCTCTGAGTCCTCTCCCCCCGGCCAGTAGCAGCTCAGGGGCTGCAGATCAGTTGTGGAGCTACTCTGGGGACCAGGACAGGTCCAGGTCCTGGACACAGAGGCCATCCAGAGCAGCCGGAAGCCAGCTGGCCTTTAGAGTGGGGCCAGGGGAGGGGTTGGCTCATCCCCCACGCTGCCCCAGCCTTTCTCTGCACTTTTACCCAGTCTTCTGCTCTTTGACTATTCTGTCCTCTAAGGATTTTTTCTCTCTTGTTTCTTCTCGCTTTGCTCTTTTCCCTTCCTTCCTGCTTCCTCCCTCTCTCCCCAGGCCTCCTCTACTCTTCACTGCTTTCCTCTGGCTGTGGTTCTAGAAATGGGCACTTCCTTCCCATACTCCCTTGAGCCTTTCCTCCAGCAAGTCCTCATTCACCCCACCCCTCTGCTGGACAGACTCTTCTAGAGACCTTCCCCTCCCCCTAGTCTTCCCTTGGCTGCTCCCTGGACCGTCAGGTAGGGGGCACCTCTCAAGTGCAGGGAAGTCCTCATTCCCTGCCCTGAAAAGGTGGCACTGCATCCCGCTCAGACCCACCCCCTCTTCCTGGTCTTCGCAGGGCAGGAATATAACTTCCTGAAGATGGAGCTCCAGGAGGTGGAGTCCCTGGGGGAGAACTATGATTTTGACAGTATCATGCACTATGCCCGGAACACATTCTCCAGGTGAGAAATGGGCCGCCTCTGCTGGGGCAGCCCAGCGCTCTGTAGACCTCCACTTTGCACTAGCCTGCCCTGCTGGGGTAGTCAGCAAGGACAAGTGGGCCCCATGGGTGCTGCCTGCCCTGCTGTCCTCTTCCACAGTGGGGCCGTGGCAGGGCTGGGACTCACAGAGCCTTGGTTCTTCACACAGTACTGCGCACACTGAGGGCACCTGGCCCAGGAGGCTGAAACCCAGCCGCCCTGCAAGCCACATGGTGTGCTGTGGCCCTGGGACTGCATCAGGGAGCTGAGATTTTCCCTCATCCGCCTGTCAGACGGGGCACATTTTTCTCATTGGGGGCACCCTTTTCTGATTGGTCTGCCTTTTTGTAATTGGCTAAGTTATACAAAATCTGGCTCCTGCCATGGATCAGCCCTCCTCCCCAGCTTCTCCTTAGCAGAGTGTGGGAAACAGGCCCCTCTTCCTCCTCTCACTCCTTCCTGCCCGGCCTTTCCCATGCCTGGCTCTCCCCTCATGCTCTGTCTCTGCACTCCAGCTCTGACCCAGACAGTGGCCCTCCCTCAGTCACTCCTCCTAGACCCACTCTTCCTGCCTCCTGACCTGAGGGAACAGAGAGCAGGGAAGGGTGGTGAGGTCATCCCGCTCCCCACACCACAGACCCCCTCCTGTACATTCCCACCACATCCCACCCCACCCCCTGCTGAGATCTGCCCAGCTGGGTGTGAGTCAGGGGCCCTGGGGAGGTGGAGGGCTGCCTGCTTCCCTTCGTTCTGCTCCTCCCAGATGGAAACACCCAGGATTTAGCAGGCAGGAAGTAGGGGGATAGGAGACGCTGATGGATCAGGAGCTGGCAGGGCTGTCCCCAGGGTCTGGTCTGGCCACGGTAGAACCTGCTCTTTAGCCTTGTGCCAGATGCTGTCAGAAGAAACCCCGCCGACAGGGTGAAGCCTTGGCCCCTGGGAGAAGTTCACTCAGGACTGAGGGGCCACATGAGGGGCCACAGAAGCAGGGCTGGGTGGGGCTGGGGACATGATCAAGTAGGGGTCCAAAGCTCCCCTGGGGCTGGGAGTGAGCCAGGGCACCAATGGGTCCCCGGGCATCCTGGGCCTATGTTCCTGACCTCCCAGAGTGTTCCTGGGGCTCCCCCAGGCTCCTGTGGTGCGGCTGCCACGGAGCAGGGTGGCTGCTGGTCAGTGGGCAGCATAATGACAGGGTGAGATGTCTCCACCCGTCCCTGACCCTGCTGAGGAATGTCTGGGCTCTGGCGGGGTCGTGACCTTCGGTACACACAGGCACACCACCCCTCCTTCCGTCAGACTCTCACCCAGGTTGGGCTTTTCCTCCTCAGGGGCATCTTCCTGGACACCATTGTTCCCAAGTACGAGGTGAATGGGGTAAAACCTCCTATCGGCCAAAGGACCCGGCTCAGCAAAGGGGACATTGCCCAGGCTCGCAAGCTCTACAAGTGCCCAGGTTGGGACAGGGAGGGACCGGCCAGGGGGAGGTGGAGGGCAGGGCCTGGGGGCAAGAAGGTTAAAGCTGTGAGTCTTAGAGAAGGCCGGAGGCTGCCTGGTGTTGGGGAGGGGGCACCCAGGGAGGGACATGTTCAAGTTGGGAACCAAACTGGGGCTAGGATCAGGGATGGTGGGATGCTGTGCCACCTACCTTCTGAGTGGCTGGGAGGGTAAGGGGGAGTAGAAGCAGAAGAGGGGGAGGGCAGAGCAATTCTCAGGGAGTGAGGCTCACCAGAGGAGCTCGACCTCAACTCTGGAACCCGTGTTGCCTTGACAACAGGGCATCCTTCAGCACTAGGCTTGGAGGTAGGCTGGCAGGAGCTCACATGTGAGGAGACGGGGGTGGATCTTAAAGGGACAGGACCATCCCAGACTCCCTTCTCTCCTCAGCAGTTCTCTCCCCCAAAGATGCCAGGGCTCGGGGGCGGGGGGAAGCCAGAAGGTTGGGGGGATTGGGTGCCAGCAGCCAGCAGCCCAGACGTTTCCTTTCTTTAACAGCCTGTGGAGAGACCCTGCAAGACAGCACAGGCAACTTCTCCTCCCCGGAATACCCCAACGGCTACTCTGCCCACATGCACTGTGTATGGCGCATCTCCGTCACTCCTGGGGAGAAGGTAACTGAGCAGCTTCTCCTCTGCCAGGACCCCCAGGCAGGAGAGCAGAGTCCCTCTCTGGAAGCCCACGGAACCCCACACTTGGGGTCCACATGGCTGTGAATAACCTCCCCGGGGAATGTAGACCCGTTCACTCCACAAGAATGGCACAGCACTACAGTAAGGAAGGGCTCCCGTGACTCACAGCCTTCCTCGGCTTCCTTCTGAATTAGTGCTACTTGTGGACAACATGTGCCAGGCCCTTTTCTAATGCTTCCCGGATCCATTCACAGGTGTCTCACGTGGAGTCTGGACCTCTCACCCACCCCTGAGCCTCCCGTGTCCTTTGTATTTTTATTGCTCCCAAGAGTCAGCTTTGAGTCTTTATTTCCCTTGATTGGAACATGGTACTTAATGTACAAGTGCAGCCTTGAGCTGGATTAAATTTTATTATTGGTCACATTGTTCATTCCAAAGGCTCTCAAGACCACTTTGAATCAGAATCCCCCCATCCAGCAGGTAGCCATCCCTCTTACTCTGCCAAGAGCTCATTTGATGAGCATGTCTTCTGGGTCTTCTGAACCTGGTCTTTGATCAAAATATTGAACAGGACATGAATCAAAGCAGATCTAAGACCTCCCTCCAAACTGACATTGATTTCTTAATCCACAGGCTTAGGGCAGAGTTATTACACTAACTATGACACGACTTAATGTCATAACCATCCAGACACAGGTCGCCACCCTGTTGACCAGGATGTGAACTTCTTCTGCATCCATGCCTTTGTCGTCCTTATATCCCTGGCCCAGGAAGTGGCTAATATATGCTGAATATAGAGATGGATTGCCTTACCAAATCAAATCCACTGTTCCGCCAGTTGGTAAAACCCCTTTTAAAAAGGAAGTGAAATTTATCTGACATGCCTTTTTTCAAGCGAACCCAAACTGGCTCCTAGTAATCAAGTGTTTCTTTTCTAAATGGTTGCAGACCATCCGTTTAATTGGGGGTTGACATTCAACTCAGTGGTCTGCAATTCCCAGAATTCACTCCAAACCCCGTCCTAGCACACGCATATTCCCCTTCTGAAAATTGGGAAAGCGTTTGTTCTGAGTTCTCAAGATTACAGACGCTGATCACATCTGCAAGTTATTTGAATGTCCTCTGATGTCATTTTTGAGCCTAGAGACAAAAGCCAATTTAAAGAGTTGCTCACTGACTCTCCTCCTATATTATTGAGCTTTCGTTTCCTTTCCAAACTGTGCTTATTTTATTTTTTGTATTTGAAGATCATTCTCTTTACAACAGACTTTTATTGAGGGTTGATTAATTCTGTCATCTCTCTTGGTTAACGTTCTACCATCTTCCCTCAAAGGTGAACCCATCCCTTCCTTGTTCCTCTCCGTGTTCTGAATCCAACTTACAAACTGCAGTCTTTTCCGCTGTCTGTGCTGACCCTGCCTCAGCTCCCTTCACCCCCTGCCGGGTCTCCACTGCCTCAGCCTTTGGAGATCTCGTCACAGATAGCAATAACAACTAAGGATTGTTGAGCATGTGATTGGCCAGGCATGTGTTAAGTTATTTATGTGTTATGTCTTTTAATTAGCACAACAACATTATAGGCCAGGTACTAATGTTATCCCCATTTTGCATATGAGAAAACTTGGAAAAATTAAGTAACTCGCCCAAGATCACATAGAAACTGGATTATGACACACAGTCTGCGATTGTGGTACTGTGTATATCCTAAAGCCCTGTTCCATTTCAAAAGTTACTTGAAAATTACTTGAAAGCTTTGCTTTCTTTCCTGTTCAGGAGATTTGCTCAGTCGGCAGGGGTGTGACAGAGTGTGGTCACGGTCAGCTTCTTTCCCGATTGCTCCAGGCTAGCGTGGGCTGGCCCTAGTCTCTAGTGGACACATGGCCTTGCCCCAGGAGCCTCTCTGTGCCTTCAGCCTGCTCCCTCCATAACTCCCAGAAGACTCCCCAGCATTTTTTAAAAAACTGTTTAATTGAGCTCACGTTGGTTTATAACATTGTGTAAATTTCAGGTGTATATTATTATATTTCAGTTTTTGTATAGACTACGTCGTGTTCACCACCAATAGTCTAGTTTCCATCCATCACCATAAACATGTGTCCTTTTTCCCCTCTTGTGCTCCCCCTACCTGCTTCCCTTCTGGTAACTACCAATCTATTCTCTATATCTATGTGTTTATCTTCCATATATGAGTGAAATCATATGGTATTTCTCTTTCTCTGTCTGGTTTATTTTGCTTAAGCATAATACCCTCAAAGTCATCCATGTTGTCACAAATGGCAAGATTTTGTCTTTTTTATGGCTGAATAGTATCCCATTGTGTATATATACCACATCTTCTTTGTCCATTCATCCATTGATAAGCACTTGGGTTGCTTCCATGTCTTGACTATCGTGAATAATGCTGCAATGAGCATGGGGTGCATAGATCTTTTTGAATTAGTGTTTTCATGTTCTTTGGGAAAATACTCAGAAGTGGAAAGGCTGGATCATATAGTATTTCTATTTTTTAATTTTTTGAGAAATCTCCGTACTGTTTTCCATAGTGGCTGCACCAGTTTGCATTCCCACCAGCCTTTTTCAGAGGCCTGCCTGGGGCGCCAGGGAGAGAAGTGGGCTACAAATAAAAATTGCAGATTCATCAATGCATGGTTGTAGAAATGCGAAAGGTAAAAACCACCCGTGGTCCTGGATGAAACTGCGGTGTTGTAAGTGAACCAACGATGGAAGCCTGGGGGGCAGAAACATTTAAAGGGCCTGCAGAGGCTGGGGAGCCAGAAGAGGGTACTGCCATAACGTAATAATGCCCATTCTTTGTTATTTAACAATTCTGTGCCAGGCAGAGTATTAGGCATCTTATATACAAGACTCATTATTCCTCACATCAGCTCTCTGATGCAGGCACTAGCATTCCTCCTGTAGAGATGAGGGAGTTGAGATCCCAGAGCATGAGTGAATCTGCCTGAGTTTACACAGGTAGTAGCAGTGGAACCAGCATCCAGGTCTGGGACTGTCGGACTCCAAAGTCTACGCTCTTTCAACAGCGAATCTTACATAAACCCACCTGCGTTAGTGGATGGACTTTGACATCTACTTTGGCTGCTGAGAGTTTGTTTTTCACTTGCTTTCCAGTTCTCAACTTATTGCCAGAAATGTGAGTGATAGGTAAATCTCATCTTAGACAATTATGCAAGTCAGGGGTATGTCAAACAGGAGTAAGAGGCACTTTGGAACGCTTCTTTCAGGATGCCCGAGTGTCTACACTGCATGAAATTAGCAGCTGCCCTGAAGAGGGTTCGCAGCGTTTTCCAAGCCGCCAAGCCGGCTCCTTCATGAGCAGGAAAGTGGCTTCAGGAGATCATGGTCAGACCTTGCTTGGGAGCCAAGAAGATAAGAACTTAAAATGTCTTTTGGATTTGGCAGTATCCACCCTCATTCCCTGCCCTCTGATATCCTGCCTATTCTTCGGGTTCCAGCCCAAATTCCATGGCCTCTGTAACGCCTTCCCTGACCTTCATCTCCCTTCCCCCAACCGGCCGGAGACGACCCCTCCCTCCTCTGCAAGGGCTGTGCTGGGCCCTCCCCTAAGTGTCTGCTCTCTGGTGCTGAAGGGCGTGGGGCGCTGAGGATGGAGGGAAAGCTGATGCTTGTTCTTTGCACAGCTGTTGGGCAAAATTGAGTGGCAGACGCGGGGAGGCCATGGGGAGTAGTGCTTAAGGGTGCAGGCTTGGAGCCAGGTGCCTGGCTTTGGCGCCCAGCTGTGCTGTTTACAGGATGTAAACATGATCTTGGGGAAGTTACTTAACCTCTCTGTGCCTTTGTTTCCCCCTTTGTAAAATAGGCCTGGTGATAGTACCTCCTTCGTGGGGTTGGTAAGAGGATTCAGCAAGTTAGTGTACAGAAAGTGCTTAAGGCCATGCCTGGCGTGGGGTGGGAAGCCCCTCAGTGTTCGCTGCTGTGCTCAGTCTATGTCCTGAACCCGTCAGATGACTCGGCCCTGGTCAGCTTCCCCAGGGGCCCCGTTTGCCTACCTCTACTTCCAGGATTCTGCTATGAACAATTTCTAACATCAAAATATCTTAAGAAAACTCAACTCCAATAGTGAAATTAACTTTTTGAGTGGCATACACTGTTGTATGTATGACACACACGTGTCAGACATGGCTGTAAATTTCACATATATTAATTTAATTCCCGTAAGTCCTATGAGGTACTGTTACCATGACCATCTTACAAATAAGGAAATGGAAGCACAGCGGGATTAGATGATGGGCCTAAGATCAGCAGCAAGACCAGACCAGGGGTCCCCCCCAAGGATAAACTTGTTCTCCCATTTCCTCTCTGAGAGTATCCAGCAAACATGAGGAGTACTTCCCACACATGGGGTACACCTTGAGACTCTGCACCCCTTATCTCATTTAACACCCTGACTGCCCAGTGGAGTTATGATCTCCTCCATCTTTCAAAGACATGAGGCACAAAGAAGTCACACCGTGGGCCTGGAGTCACCAGGCAGGAAGTGGTGGAGCTGGCCAGGTTTTCTTTGGCAAAGGGCAGTGCCCCGCCACCAGAACACAGCTGTTTCCACATAACAGAAGTCGTGACAACTCTTAATTAGACACCTCCGGTCTCAATATAGACATGGCTGTGCCTCCCTGTAGGATGCCTCTCACCGCCAGCACAGCTCCTTCCTCCTCAGTGAGGTGGCCTCTGGCTCCTCTTGCCCCGGAGGAGGTCCCTATGAGCCTTTGGGGTTCTGCCAGCTGGGCGTGGTTTCTTCTTCAGAGGGTCTGGACTCATCTGCCCTGGACCAGTCGGAGCAGCCTACGAGGAGGAAGGGAAGGCGCTGCTGTCCTTAGGGTAGCTGCAGAACAGAATCGATTGGCAGGCCCGGGGGGCCGCAGGGAGTGGTGAAGGGTGGACGTTCAGAGCCAGAGTGCCCTCGCTTGGCCCTCTGCATGCCTTCTTCCTTCCAGCAACGCTTTAAAGATACTTTTGTTGTTTGTTAGATGTAAGGCTAGTGTGCATGTTGTGAAAATTTTGAAAGCGTAGAAGTGCGCAAGGTGAAAAGTGAGTATTCTGCCCTGACGCTCCTCCATGTCACACGCTCAGAGGCATCTGAGCATTGGAAACACTTCGTATGTCCTTCCAGACCCTTCCAGGTGTGCATGTGTGCACGGGTGTCTGTGTGAACACAAACAGTGCACACATGGGCTTCCGTCACTTGCCTTTCACTCGGCAATAAATCATGGCCATCTTTCCTCATCAGCACATATAGGTCTACCTCAGTCACTTTCATGGCTGCTCAGCATCCGTCGTCTTGATTTCCTTTAATTTGATTATTCAGTCCTTCCTCTGCAGGTCTCTAGTGACAAATGTTTGATTTAAGTTTTTCCAAGATTTCATTATGGCCAGAAATGTTATAATAAACATCTTGAAACTTACATCTTTATACACTTGGGCAAGTATATCTTTGGATTAGATTCCTAAAAGCAAAATTCTTTTCAAGAAATATTTATTAAGTAACTACTACGTGCCAGGCACCAAGGACTCCATAGTGAATTAAAATTCCTACCCTCATAGGGTTTACATTTTGGTAGTTGGGGGAAACAGACAATGAGCAGATGAAATAAATGCAGCAGGTCAGATGGTGATAAGTGTTACAGAGGAAGTCAGCAGTGGGAGGTAGGGCAGTGGGGTGGAGGTTACCGCTCCACGTGGGATGGTGAGGGAAGGCCGTGTTCATGTCAGGAGAGTTGGAGCAGAAACGGACAGGAAGTGAGGGAATGCACCAGGCAGAGAGCTGGGAAGAGCTTCTAGGCAGCAAGTGCAAAGGCCCTGAGGCAGGAGCAGGCTTGCCGTGTTTGAGGATCAGCAAAGTCAATGTGACCAGAGCCAGGTAAGCAAGGAGGAGAGTGGTGGGAGATGGGGTCAGAGAGATAACAGGAGGTTGGATCATAAATGGCCTTAGAGGCTGTGGTGAGGACTTTGGATTTTGCCCTGAGTTGTATGCATTAAAGACTTTGAGCAGTGGGGAGACGTGATCTGATTACATCATAGAAGATCTGCTGTGGTGGGGGCAAGGTCAAGAGCAGGGCCTGTTGGACTGATCTTGGAAGAAGGTGACAGGGGGGCTAGGACTGAGAGTGAAGAAGGAGGACAGGCGGTTTGAGGAGAGAAAAGAGGTGTGAGAGGAGGGGAGTGTAAAAGAGGCCCAGCTGAGGTGAGTGGTCTCGAATTTCAAGTGAGACAATCAATGTTGAGGTATTTTCTCTGGCGACATTGGCCATCGGGTGTGGGCACAGACGGGTGGAAAGTTGGATTTAACTAGGGTTGTGGTTTTCAGGTGAGTACAGTAAAGAGAAAGAGGAGTGAGAGAGCTGAAGGCCTGTGCACAGAGGTGAGGGTCAGGGTGGCCCGTGGCTTTACTTTGAAGTGACGAGACTGCCAGCCTTTGGCCACTTCCTCTGTGGTCATAGTTGGTCATCTTCTAGAAAGGTCTAATGTTGGGTGACGACACACTGTCTGACCCCATGGCAAGAGCCAGAGCAGATTTTCAACTTTACTTTTTCAAAATCCCAGGCCCTGTATTTTTATAATAATGACTCTTGATGACTAACAGTCATCATCGAGAGTAACATAGTACCCTTCTCCAGACGTGGTCTCGCTTGATCCTGTCTTAAAGTACCACAAGTAGTAGAAGCTTCCCAAACACAGGCAGATTCAAGTTCATGTCTGAATCAGAGGACAAGAAGAAAGACGGACCGTGGGGTCCAAGCTAGGCAGGAGAGATGTGGGTCTGCGGAGGTGAAAGGCGGTGGAAATACCATAGGCTCCATGGACTAAGGTCGGATTAGAAGGATGGCTGGGCTCAGAGTACACAGGGAGCGAGTGAGGAAAGATTGGGGCACGTGGATGGGCAGTGGGGTCCTTGAGCTTGAGATTATGGATGCTAACAAGGCCTAGGGGATGGCATGCTCTGTGTGGCTGAGAAGGGGTAGAGAGAGTGTGAGAGAGGTCCCAGAGAGAGAGGCCAGGAAATGGGAAGGACGATCTAGGTAGCTACTGAAATCACCGCGAGTTCTGGCGGGATCTGTGTTAGAGAGTGACCGTGAGCCAGAAGCTCTTCCCTGACTGGTTGCAGCATTGACACTGGCTGCGGACAGCAGTTGCCAGCGCCTGCTTCAGGATCTTTTCATTCTGGCCTCCACTGCGGTGAGCCAGAGCGGAGTCAGATCTTGTCCGCTTCTCCTCCAACAGGGAACCCAGCTGGCGCCTAACAGGTGGGCCCCTCGGGTCGTCACGTGTCCACCGTCCATGCCTTGAGAGTCACGGGGAGCCGTTCCCTGGAGTCCCTGCTTATTGGACTCTAAATACACACCAGGTTTGGAGGCTCATTCTGGAAACTACTAAGGAGGCCATTTCCCTCCTGGAAAGTGTGCTTCTTTACCTGTTCCTATGCCCACCTGCTGCAGAGAGGTGGTACTTACCAAGGTGTCAGGTGTCCTCCAGTATTAGGGGACATCTGATGAGTTTGGAGGCTGAAATGAGTTGACGTGCAGGAGGTGATTAGGGCAGTGCCTGTGCACACGTGTGATGTGTTGTCTCAGGTGAAATGCTCTTTCCTCATTTTATGCTCGTGGTGGCTGAGGTTCAGAGAGGTTCGGTGATTCACCCAGGGACTCACAGCAGGAAATGCAGAGGTGAGATTCAAACCCAGGTCCACATGCGTGTCTGGAGTCTGAGTCTTTTCACTAAGTGTTCTTTTCATGCATATGTCTTTTCCTTCTAAGTCCTGAGCTTCTTGATGGGAAGTATCTTAAACCCATTCACAGTAAGGATCCAGCTCTGGTGTTCTCCTCAGCAGTTAGCATGGATCAGCATTCAGTAACTATGTGATGCTGGCTGACTCAGCCCTTCTTCCCTCTGCATCTCCTCTCTGGATCCCTCATTCCCATTTCAGAGCCCCCAGTGCCCACATGCCACCCTGGGCCCTTCCTGTCCCTGAGGAGACCTCTTCCCTCTGAAAGTGCTGTGATTTATGTTACTTAAGTTGACCGTGAGGACAGCTGGGTGTGTGTAACCCAAAGCAGTGGCTTCTCCTGAGGGGATCAGTAAATGAGAGCCCTGGTCTCATGCACATATTCAACAAGGCCGTGCATTTTCGGTGAGGACTGGCCTGGGAGATCTGGGAAGAATGCCGACTCTAACTGGCAGACGGCTGGGGAGGAGCGACATTTCTGTGCCAGGAGCTCCTTTTTGGACCCCTTAACTATCACCCGTGGCAAACCACCTCACGTAAGGTGCCGTGGTCACGGGGCTGGCGGGCGAGGCCAGCGAGGTGTGGGGAGCAGCGTAACCTTCCTCCTCCCCATTTCCCTAGATCATTCTGAACTTCACATCCATGGACCTGTACCGCAGCCGCCTGTGCTGGTACGACTACGTGGAGGTCCGTGATGGCTTCTGGAGGAAGGCGCCCCTCCGAGGTAACAGCGCTAGCTCACCCCCCTGCCTCCTCTGGATTCCTCCTTAGAACTGCTCACATCCCACTCTCTTCACCCTCCCCGGGACCCAGCACTCGGCCAGGGGCGACCCCCTGGCGTGGGAGCCAGGAGTCCTGTGGTGTGGTTAGTGCCTGCCAGCTCGATCATTGAGTGTGTGACTTTGGGCGAGTCCCTTCCCTGATCTGGACCTCAGAGTCCTTGGTGCAGGCTTCCGGGCTTCCCTCAGAGGGTAGCTGTCCATGTATGGGTTGGGGGAGTCATAGGAGTTGACAGAGGGAGACAGGCAGGCGCATCCCCACAGCTCCAGGATCTCTTCCTCATCTGGGTAATTTCAGAGGCTCTGCTTTCTCTGTCTGCAAGGCCTGGCTTGAGCGTGCCCACAGTGTAGCCTGGTGTACCAGGAGGGCTACCCAGCTGGCATGGTGGCCTAAACTTGTCTGCACAGGATGCTTTGTCCCTGGTGGGGGCAGTGAGTACGTGGGGGATGGGAGGTCAGAACCACAGGACAGAAGTGCTCTAATGGGCACAGACTGAGGGCAAAGAGGGGCTTCCAAGAGGGCGCTTGTGTCAGCCCTCAGGAGCTGTGTGAATTCTCCCCCTAGCCTGGACGTTGTCCTGAGTGTCTCGGGGCTGCTCGCCGCAGTGGAACTTTTGTCCTACGGCCTGTGCCTGATGGCAGGCTGACAAATCCTTGCTAACCGTCTCTTTTTTTCCCCTCAGTTTCTGATATTCGAATATTTATTAGTCACCCATAGCAGCTGTCATTACAACACTTCCGCCTGCGGACGTGGTCGCGTTTCCAAGATTGCAGTTTCTTTTTCATAGCTTACATTCCTAGGTCAGCACCCTCTTGCTGAGAGTTGGGAAACACCCGTCTTAGGCTCACACGGATCATCCCTAGTCAGTTCTTGACTACGCAGGATTCCACAGATGGCTACCCTCATCTACTTGTGTGGATTCCTGGCGGGTTTTATTTCAAAGGAGGCTTTTTCTGACCGAGTCCCCAGATTCTGGGATTTATTTAGGGTTCTGAGGCATTCTCTGCCGTTGGTCAAATGAAAACATTTTGTAATATACAAAGAAAGCTGTTTGTTCTTGGTTATTACTTGTTTGCATGGAGATCAAATAAGAAAAGATAAGTAATGTTAGTAATAGGCTCTTTTTAAAAAGTAAATAAAACACACGTACAGTTAGTTATTGTGAGGAGTCACCTTTTGTCCCAGAAACAGACTTATGTCCTGTCCCTCAAGGGCATGAAATGCTCTAGAAGTGCTCTCTGGCTCTTTGAGGCCAAGCTGGAGTTTGGACCAGGCCGACTGGAAGGCGTGTGGTCCTAGGAGTGTGTGCCAGTCGCAGACCAGGGCCAGAACCCCCAAGTCCCCCAGAGACGGGGGCGGGCTTCCTGGAGGTACAACCCTGGTACAAGAAGGGGAGAGGGGTTCACTCCAGGCCTCACGGCCCCTCTGTCCACATCATCTGCGCAGGCCGCTTCTGTGGGGCCAAACTCCCCGAGCCTGTCGTCTCCACTGACAGCCGCCTCTGGGTTGAATTCCGCAGCAGCAGCAACTGGGTCGGGAAGGGCTTCTTTGCAGTCTATGAAGGTACTGAGGATGGGGGAGGAGTCAGATACGACATCCCTGTGCACCCTGGAACCACTACCTCTGGGCACCCCGGGGGCGAGGTTGAGGGCCCACAGGGAGGAAGCAAAGATCTGGTGGGTTTGGCCAGGGCGGAGGTGGGGGCACTGGGAAGCTGGAGGGATGTGGGAGGGGCTGAAGGACAGGGCAGAGGGGTTCTCCAGCAGGCAGAGCATTCTGACCAACTTCCCCTTTTTCCCACCCCACCCTGTGTCCCCAAAGCCATCTGCGGGGGAGATGTGAAAAAGGACAACGGCCACATCCAGTCGCCCAATTACCCGGACGATTACCGGCCCAGCAAAGTCTGCGTCTGGCGGATTCAGGTGTCCGAGGGCTTCCATGTGGGCCTCACCTTCCAGTCCTTTGAGGTAGGTCAGAGACCCTGGGACCCGAGGCTTTAATGCCCGCTTGCCCCAGGAAGGCCCGCCTCTGTGGGCTTTCGGGCGCTGGATCCCCGCAGCCAGATCTCCTCCCGCTGACGGAGCCCCGGCCCTCAGATCGAGCGCCATGACAGCTGTGCCTACGACTACCTGGAGGTGCGCGACGGGCACAGTGAGGGCAGTCCCCTCATCGGGCGCTACTGTGGCTACGAGAGGCCAGACGACATCAAGAGCACGTCCAGCCGCCTCTGGCTCAAGTTCGTCTCTGACGGATCCATTAACAAAGCTGGCTTCGCCGTCAACTTTTTCAAAGGTGCCTCCTTCCCTGTTCCCCCACCCCACCCACACCCTTGGCCAGTCTATCTCCTTTATGCCTTCTTTTAATTTTTTTAATTTTATCTCGTTGTGTTAAGAACACTTAGCGTGAGATGTAGCCTCTGAGCACATTTTTAAGTGTGTAACCCAGTGCTGCTGACCGTAGGCACAGTGCTGCACCGCAGGTCTCTAGAGCTTATTCATCTTGCTTGATTGAAACTTGACACCCGGAGACTAGCTCCCCATTTCCCCTCCCCCAGCCCCTGGCAACTACTGTTCACTATTTCTGCGAATTTGACCATTTTAGATATCTCACGTAAATAGAATCATGTAGAATTTATCTTTCCGTGACTGGCTTATTTTACTTAACATAGTGTCCTTAAGATTCATCCATGTTGTCACATATGGCAGAGTTTCCTTCTTCTTGAAGGCTGAATAGTATTCCATTATGGGTAGACACCGCATGTCCTTTATCCTCATCCATTCGTGGACATTTAGGCTGCTTCCACATCTTGGCTATTGCGCAGAGCGCTGCGATGGTTCCATTCCTTCTTCATTCACTCATTCAACACAGAGAGTCTACGAGGGAAGCCTAGGCCCTGGTGCCCTGCCCTTGAATTTATGGCCTAACTGGGAAGAAAAAGTCAACTCCATTGAAAACCTGCATCCTTTATTGAGTAAACGACACATTTATATAAAAGTAGCTGACACATGATAGGTGCTCAACTATGGATTTGAAATAACAGTTCAGGAGTTGTCGGAAAGTCCAAAAGTTTGTACGGAAGAAATGCTGATGAGGTGCGGAGGCAGGGTGTGCCGCAGGCCCGGCAGGAAGCCAGGCAGCCTGGGCATCTGTGGTGGGGTGACCTGGGCAGGGTGTCCTGCCTGGCCCGTGTTTCCTCGTCTGTAAGTGGGATGGCAGCAGCACCTCCATCACACGTCTCATGCGAGGGTGGAAGGAGAAGTGAGAGAGTGGTGCTTAGCTGGGGGATGGCATGCGTGAGTCACCAGTAAATGGTGGTGGCCACCAGCCCAGCCAGTGTGGTCAGAAGGGTGGCTCTGTCCCCTACTTTAGGTCACTCCTATCCCTTGGGGGCTCTCACAAGTATGACCCCCTGGGGAGCTGGTGGGGTTCTGAGCAGCCATGGAGGGCTGGGGGAGGCAGGAAGGCCCACGGCCCCAGAGCTGAGTGGACAAGTGAGGCTCCCAGCTGACTTCTCCCTGGAATGGGTATGGGGTGGTCACAGGAAGCCTGAGGGACCCTGGACTTGACTCTCAAGCAGAGGGCAGGAAGGGACTCAGGCCGTGGCCTGGGAGTCCCTGACCCCGTCCCTCCCACTGGCAGAGGTGGATGAGTGCTCTCGGCCCAACCGCGGCGGCTGTGAGCAGCGCTGCCTCAACACGCTGGGCAGCTACAAGTGCAGCTGCGACCCTGGCTACGAGCTGGCCCCCGACAAGCGCCGCTGCGAGGGTGAGCATCCCCTGGGGGCTTTTGCTCCCCTGCCCAGGCCCTCCCGCGAGATCTTGATGCCCTTGGACAGACCCTCCTGGAGAACTAGGATTCCCATGCACTGTCCCCCGTGGAGGATAAGGGGCATGTTTTATGTTTCAGTCCCCCAGAACACACTGTTATCAGGTGTGTGCACTCTGGTTTTTTGTTCCTTCTTATTCTTATGCTGTTTAAATGCTGATCTTGACCTGCTGATCATCATCACCCACCAGAGGTCATGATGGACATTTCAGAGTCTGTTGTTCTCGGCCTCTCCCTGTGCCTGTTCTGGAGATGCTGGAGATGCTCTCCCTGGTCAGCTGCCTCCAGCTCAGCCTCATCTTGCTGCACTGCTTCTCTCTGCTCACCTCTGAGCAGCTCCCTCTCTGTGCCTCCCAGGCCTCACTGCCCACTGGCCTGCCGTCCTTGAGCGCCTCCCTCCCCACTCCCTCTCAGCAGATGCCCTGGCCCGTTTTCTAGCAGAGGTCATAGAAGTGGCCGCACATACAACTCAGCTCCTCGCGCTCTGAAGATGCCTCCTTTCCTTCCATCCCTGAGAGGCCAGCCTCAGCCCCGGGGCTGCAGGGAACCCATAAATCCCCATCTCCTCCTCAGCGCACCCAGCCTAGTCTCCTGCCCTTGCCCAGAGTGGGGCCTCCTGGCAGATGACGCCACTTCCTTTGTCCCCCCAGCTGCCTGCGGTGGATTCCTCACCAAGCTCAACGGCTCCATCACCAGCCCAGGCTGGCCCAAGGAGTACCCCCCCAACAAGAACTGCATCTGGCAGCTGGTGGCCCCCACCCAGTACCGCATCTCCCTGCAGTTTGACTTCTTCGAGACCGAGGGCAACGACGTGAGTGCCTGCCTGGGGCTGAGAGCACGCAGCACAGCCTGAGGGCTGGAGCATGGCTCTGTGCTGGCTTCCTGCCCTCTGAAAGAAACACTCACAGATTGTAAAGAGGAGAGACTGCTCCAACTCCAGGAAGCAGGGGAGGCTCAGGGAGGAGGGCCTTGAAGGCCAGGGAGAGCCCAGCCTGTGGGAATGAAGGAAGTCGGGCTGGGAAGCCTGTGGAGTGAGGCAGGCTTGGGGCTTGTGTGGGGATGAGGGCAGAGTGGCACCTTTTTGAATTGTTAGATTTGGTAAAGTGGGTAACTGAGGGCAAAAGGGCTCACCAACAGGGAGCCTGGAGGGTGGGGGGCGTTCAGGAGAGGCTTCCTGGAGGAGGTGGGCCTGGAGCTGCGCTGCCTGGCAGGTGTGCAAGTACGACTTCGTGGAGGTGCGCAGTGGGCTCACGGCCGACTCCAAGCTGCACGGCAAGTTCTGTGGCTCTGAGAAGCCCGAGGTCATCACCTCCCAGTACAACAACATGCGCGTGGAGTTCAAGTCAGACAACACAGTCTCCAAAAAGGGCTTCAAGGCTCACTTCTTCTCAGGTAACCTCAGAAGCTCCAAGCCCAGCCTCCCCTCCTCCCTGCCGCTGCACCCTGCACTCCTCAGTCCCTCTGGTGCCAGCCAGCAGGGTCTGTCACCTGCTCTCCCCACTAGCTTTCCACCACCAGACCAGCCTGCGCTTCTGAACCCTAAAATTCCTGAACCCTCAGGGCTACGTGGGAGCTGGCCTGAGACCAGGCAGGACATAGGCATGCAGAAATGAAGGGAGAGGGCGTTCCAGGCATCAGGAGCTGAGCGAACCAAGGCCTGAGCGAGGGCAGGCCCTGGAACAGGGAGTTAGTTCAGTGGGGCTGGAGAACACGGGGTGCGCAGAAGAGCAAGGTGTTTGCATGGGACTTTGTGGGGCAAATTTTCTGGCAGCGGCCGATCTCTGATCAGACCCTGCAAATGCCAGACGAGTTCATGCCAGCCCCTTCAGAAAAGATGAGGAGCCCCCTCCAGCACCAAAGCTTCTGTGCACGTCCAACCAGCACATGTCTGTTGAGAGCTGCCCTGTGTAAGGTCGAGTCCCTTTGATGGCCCCATCTTCAGGTGGCTGAAATGGTAGTCAGCAGTCCTTTGCCCATCCTCTCTGAGCTGGACCTCCCCACTGCTTTAGTAATCCCTCAGTTCTTGGCCCTGGGCTGGGCTGGGAGGCAGCTGCTGGTTTCCCACAGGCAGCAGGACCCAGGACACAGGCAACACAGGGCAGGAGCTCTATGGAATCGAGTGTGGGGGAGAGTGGGCTGGCTGGAGGAGATGGTTTTGTGGGGGAGTGGCCCAGGGATGGTCACCCCAGCAGCCTGGTGGGCTGGGCATGGGGCGGCAGGAAGCCCACAGCCGAGTCCCGCTGCCTTCCTTCTCCCCTCCTTTGCCCAGGGTCCTGCATCCTCGAGCCCTCTGTGGCCGCCCTGCACCCCTGCCTGCCCCACCTGGATGCCATGCACTGCCCCTGTGCACTGGTTCCCTGCTTGGCACTGCCGGCCACCCTGCTCTGCTTAAAGTGCCCCAGCCCCTGCCAGCTGCTTGCTGAGACCCTCCCCTTGCCGCGCGAGTCCCCTTCCCTGTGCCGCCTGGAGCTCCCATGAGGTGCTTGCCACAGGGCTGAGGGGATGCAGCCCCTACTCAGGGGTGGGCTTGGCCCCTGGAGGACCATTACCTGCTTACTCTCGTCTCTTCCTACCCTTCTGTTGCTCCAGTCTTGGGGGGGGGGGAACCGACACCACATCTGTCAGGCTTAGAGCCCGGGGCTCTCCACCCACAGTTACTGCCCTGCCCTGGCATGACACTGTGCCTACCCCAGCCCCAGCCCTGCACAGAGATGCATACATACATGTGCACACCTGCACACACACACACACATACATTGCCCCATCGCACGAGAAACCTGCAGAGGACGCTCACCGGTGGGCATCAAGGTTCAGCCCTCAGGGCGTGGGGCAGCTGACTCTGGCCCCCTGGAGGGGGCTCTTTGGACTTTTGGGACACCCAACGAGGAGACCCTAAGCCAAGAAAGAGAAGAAAGAGCATGAAGACCTTCAGTCTGACCCCAGCCACCTTCTGGGGCATTTGGCACTGGAGGGTGAGTGCCATCTCCTTGTTGGGGCCCGTATCTACCCCCTGCTCCTGCCCCTCCTGCCCCTGCGCCCCTGGCTCCCAGGTGAGGCTGCCCACTCCCACCCCTCCCCGCGCCGGAGCCGGAGCCGGGACACGAAAGCAGGCATTCCGCAGGCCTCGCGTTCCTCCCATGCCTTCATCCAGCCATTCACTTCCTCCCTCATTCGTTCACTGGGCAAGTCTTTCTTTTGCCCTACTATGTGCCAGGCACTGTACTAGGTATTTAGGGTGCAGATACAAGGAAGGCATGGGGGTCCAAACATTTTAGGGAAATTTTTGCTAAGTCTGTGAGCTGGGATGCCTGAACGTCGCAGCATGGTCACCAGCGAGTTCCTTGGGGAACCCCAGGATGGGTTGTAGGGTGGCCTTCACCTCCACTTTCCTGCAGGGCTAGTGCAAAGGCAGCTTCCCCGGGCCCCTCAGTCAGGGTCCCCTGGGATGCTCTAACTGAGAAGGAGCCCTGGGAGGGCCTTGGGGACTCCTCCTCTTGGCTCGGGGTTCCTGTGGGCTCCAAGGGGTCTGGCTCGCTGGAGAATGGATTGGAGAAGCAAGGCCTTCTGGGACCCAGTACTCCAGCCCTCGGGTCCCTCTCCTGATGGAGAACAGAAACAGGGCCCCCTGTCACACACCCTATCTGACCATTTGGAAGCCAGCAGGTGTCCCTCTACCTCGCAGCTCCTCTCTGGGATTCTGGGTGTCTGTTTGGTCCACACACCCTCCCTGCATGCCTGCCTCTGTGCCAGGCACATGGCCCCAGAGTGACCATGGACAGACTGGAGGATATGTAGGTGTGACATACACATGCCTGTGACTGTGTCTCTCTGTGTGTCAGTGCACATGTTTGTTCACGGGAGAGTGCCTGTGCGCGTCCACCAGAACATGAGCACTGCATGCATGGGCATGCTTGCGTCCACGGGTCTGCTGACAAGCTGTGGTCTCTGTGTTCATGTGTGCCTTTGTCTGTCCCCGTGTGTGAGTCCCTGAGTGCCTGCTAGTGCAGCTGTGCTTGTGTGTTTGTACTTGTGCTTGCTTCCTCACGCACATGTGGGAGTAAGCAAGTAGTGTGTATCTCTTGTGTACACAGTTGGCTGATGATGCGTGTGTGTGTATCTGTGTTTCTGCCTGTGTATTTGTGTGTGAGGGGGTGGTGTGTATCCTATGCTCGTGTATGTGTGTATCTGGGGGTCAGTGTCTGTGCTGCCGTGTTGGGACCACAGTACATCCACGAGGGGATGCTGTGTCTGTGGGTGTGTTGGTGTGAGTGTGTGTCTGTGTCTAATACACTATGGCTGCAGTAGCCAGAATGACGAGAGCAGAGCTCTCCCCAAGGCCCATCCTTTCCATGAAGACTGTTTCTCTCCCTCCTCAGTGCACCGGCCTCCGTGCACCCCTCCAGGCCTTCTGCCCGCCACAAGCTTTCTCCCCATCCGTCCCCTGTCGCTGTGCCTCCTCCCACCTGCTACCCCTCCATGGCCTGGCTGCACTGGACATGGCCGTCCTGCATGCATGTCCCGCTGCCTTCTGCCCCGCCCTGTGGATCTGCCTTGAGGCCCTGGGTCTGGTTTTCACCTGCTCCCCGTCCCTGGTCCCTGCCCTCCACCCCACCCCTTGGACCCTTTTCTTCTTCTCTCTCTCTCATTTCAGAAAAGAGGCCGGCTCTGCAGCCCCCTCGGGGACGCCCCCATCAGCTCAAATTCCGAGTGCAGAAAAGAAACCGGACCCCCCAGTGAGGCCTGCCAGGCCTCCCGGACCCTTTGTTACTCAGGAACCTCACCTTGGACGGAATGGGATGGGGGCTTCGTGCCCACCCACCCCCCACCTCCACTCTGCCATTCCGGCCTGCTTCCTGGCCGGACAGAACTGGTGCTCTCCTCTTCCCTCGTCCCCCACGTGGATAGGGGACCATCCCCGCCCCCGACCCTCTCCCATTTTGATGGTGTCTGTGACATTTCCTGTTGTGAAGTAAAAGAGGGACCCCTGCGTCCTGCTCCTTTCTCTTGCAGTCTGCTTGTCCGTGTGTCTGTTTTTCCACTTGTCCGTCTGTCCAGTAAGCAGGTAATGGTAGAGGTTTCCCATGCTGGTCAGCTCTGGACCCCAGCCCACCCTCCATCCACTTCTACTTTCTCTCCCCACAGCTGGGCCCTTCAGCCGGCTCCGCTTGATGCAGTGCCCCGGACCCCCACCGTCGCCTTGGCCTCCCCTCCCCACCCAGCCCCCCGGGGGGAGGAAGCCCAGCCTGGCCTCCCTGGAGTGACCACCCCACCTCAGCCCTGCACAGACCCGGTTCTGCCCTTGTTTGCTCCCCCTGCAGACAAGGACGAGTGCTCTAAGGACAATGGCGGCTGTCAGCAGGACTGCGTCAACACCTTCGGCAGCTACGAGTGCCAGTGTCGCAGCGGCTTTGTCCTCCATGACAACAAACACGACTGCAAGGAAGGTGAGCGCTGCCCAGAGCCCACGGCCTCAGGCCCCGGGCCATAGACCCAGCCTCACGCCGCCGCCGCAGACAGGGGCCAGGGGCTCGGGGACGGAGGCTGTGCGTCTCCATCGCCTCAGTTCAGGCTCAAGGCGCTGAGTGACCTCTGAGGCCACGCTGTTTTGCCTCCCACTGGGTATATATCACTCCCCCGCACCAGCAGTAGCCAAGCCGCACGCACTTGTGGGCTCTCCTAGCCCGTGTCAGGAGAGGAGAAGCCCACAGCTGCCCCCAGACTCCATTTTTAGGCTGTTCTGGTGGTTAGTGCTTCTTAAAATCCGTGCCCAAGTCTTCCTCTCTGTGAGAGCTCCTTCTGGCAGAGGCAGGATGGGACAGCAGTTAAGAGCACGGGCACTGAAACCAGGCTGCCGGCCCAGCCCTGCCGCTTGTTAGTTGTGCGCCCTCGAGCAAACACTTCCTCTCCCTGCGCCTCAGTTTGCTCCGGTGTAATGTGTAGATGGGGACAGCACCCAGCTCATGGGGCGTGGGGCACTCTGAAGTGCTCCAAGCAGTACCTGGCTCATAGCAGGCATGATCCTGTGTGTCACCTTTATTGGTCACACTTCTGACACCCAGGGAGACTCAGAACAGGGCCGCTGCCTCCCTGACACTGGAACCCTGCAGATATTGGAGAACAGCTCTCGTGTCATTGCTGACACCCTACAACACTGTCCTGCTCCAAGTCGTTCAATCCACTGTGGCCCCTGCCTCTGGGGACACACTATCCTAGCACAGAACGCAGACACGCCTCTGCCACTGAGTGTCTGTGTAACGTTGGGTGAGTCGCTTCACCTCTCTGAGCTTCAGTCTTCTCACTTATGAGATGATGACAATGGCCCTACTTTGCAGGGACTGAGGTTTATAGGCCTTGCTCTGAGCGCTTAGCACAGTACACATGCCTCTTCTCGCCATGACCAGGTAGACAGCCAAGCTGTGAACAGATGACCTGCTTTCCGGAATAAGCAGAATTGAAGCCCTCGACAGTCACCCAGTGGACACTCAAGGGCTTCCAACCCCACTGCTCAGGCTCCCCTGCATCTTTTTGCCAGAGGGTACCTTACTCTGATGCTGACTAACTGCATCCCATCTCTGTTCTCTCTGCAGCAAAAAGGGTTTTGCTAGGGAACCCTCAGCATCCACAGCAACAGGATGGCCCGGGGGGTTTGAACTCATTGGGAAAATGGCCTGTACCCAGCTCCAATTAACTTTAGAAGCCCTCATGCTTCCTTATTCAAGTGCGAGGCTAATTATGAATCAGTATTTCCTGAACCCCTGCAGAGGAGGCCACTCTGGGCCAAGCCCTGTAGGAGATTCACGAGCGGAGTCCCTCTGCTCCCAAGGAGGCTGCAGTCTAGGTAGGGGGAGAAGTGCATGTGGGAGAAGAAATTAGAGGGTGTGGGCGCCCAGTGTAGAGATGGGGAGGCAGTGAGCACGCACGTGGGGAAGGGCAGGTTGGTAATGGAAAGAGGTCAAATGTGGAGGGCCAAGAGCTTGACCTGCCCTCCTGGGGCCACCCGGCGCCTGCACAGGCGCTGCCCCTCTCTGGGTCCTCGTGACTGCGCATCTGTCCTGTGAGTCTCTGCCTATAGGCACAGCAGGGCAGCCTGCACCCCACCCATCCCCTTCTCCTCCCAGTCCTGCAGTGCACTGGCTGCCCACTTCTGGAGGGACCTGTCAGATTGGATGAGAATGAATAATGAGCATTGGCTTTTAAACTTGAGTTTGTGAGGGCACACTTCAGAGGCAGAAGGCAGATTGCAGTGGATCAAGGAGCCATAAGTAGTGAGAATGTGGTAGTAGCAGGTTTATCTTGAAGGTTAGCAGAGAAGAAAAGGAGAGAGGGTGGGCGGCAGCTGGAGGGGACGTAGGGCCATGGGAGAGCTGTTTGAGGATGGGCAAAGCTTGGGAAGGCTCATGGACTTGCAGGGCTGTCAGAGAGTGAGGGTGGCAATTTGTGGTACAAGGGTCCCCAGGTGGCGGGCGGCAATGAGCTCTAGATCACAGAAGGAAAATCCATTCCTGCCAGAGAGGAGGGACACCTTCTCTGAGACAGGAAAGGAGGGAAGGGGGAGGCAGGGAAGGCGATTTGCAAGTAAGGGTCAGGAAGTTGAGGTGGTTCATATTTGAGGCCCTGATTTCCTCAGGTAGGCAGGAAGTGAGGTGGTCTGCTGGGAGGGAGGGACTGGGAACTGAGGAGAGGCCTGAAGGCTTGGAACTGTTGCTGAGGAGGTGAGAGATGGAGCCAGGGCTGGCCAAATCCTAGCGATCAAGTGGTTTGGGGCCCAGCGGCAGTTGGGAACCATGGGTGGGGTTTTCCAAGGTGGTGCAGTAGAAGCCCTGAGTGTTGATGGCAGTCGGGGTGATCAGCCACGTAGTCCAGCTGGAGGGGGATGCAGGTTAAGTTAACCAAGGAGGACATATTGGGAGAGACCGAAGGATGGAGGCCGTGGAGGCCTCTCTAAAGTTGGAGAAGCATTGAAGGGAAAGCAAGGACTGGAGCATCCTGGAAGAACGGGAGGGGCCACAGAGAGGGTGTAGATGGAGAAACGGTGGGCGATGGGGAAGCCTAGGGTAGGTCATGAGCGAGCGTGCCTTGAGAGGGGGGAGATGAGGACCACAGAGCTGAGAAGGTCAGGGGCCTAGAGGCCAGTGTGTTTTTTGACGTCACCTAGGATGGTAGCAGGAGTCGGGTGGAGAGAACGGAGTCAGGTGCCAAAGTCCTCTGTGAACATGGAGGCGTGGCGAGGGGGCAGGGGCTGACAGCATCACGGAGGGCAGAGGTGGTGTGGCCAGGGGTCTACACGGGGCGCCTGGGAGGGCCACTTCCATGGATGCTTCCAGGTGGGGTTTAGCTTGGAACCAAGCAGCAAGATTCCCCCAGGGTGGGTAACTGAATTGAAAAGAAGTAATGTATGCCTTCAGTCCATTTTTAAGTGGGGGGCAAGAGAAAGAAGAAACGGGGAGGACGGGAGGGAGGGCTTGCTTCCTTTCTTCACAGGGGGCACTGGAGCACTGGGGTCCCTGCTGATCCCCTCCCCTCACTCGCCTCCCCATAGCCGGCTGTGACCACAAGGTAACATCCACCAGCGGTACCATCACCAGCCCCAACTGGCCTGACAAATATCCCAGCAAGAAGGAGTGTACCTGGGCCATCTCCAGCACCCCTGGACACCGGGTCAAGCTGGTAAGATGCCCATTCTGCAGGCTGCCCAGGCGCCCCTGCTCCTCCATGCCATCTGGCCATCACCTGCTTCCTGTCAGCTTTGCAGCCCTGTGTCCCTCAGAGGCACTGCCCAGAGCCATGCAGGCAGCAGGCTGGTGGCCTGGCTGAGCCCTGGGGCTGCCATCCCTTTGAGAATCCCAAGTCTGGTCTGGACAGAGGCCCTTTCCCAGTGTGCAGTGGCAAGGCGCCGGCCATTGCCCCACTCTCGGGTCCTCCCTCACTGCCGTCCGCCAGCAGTGCCACTCCCAGTTGGCACCCTGCCTCCAACCCTGCCTGCCCCCCAGCCACGTTCCTAATTTGCTCTCCTCCCGCATGCCCTCCAGACCTTCACGGAGATGGACATCGAGTCCCAGCCTGAGTGTGCCTACGACCACCTGGAAGTGTATGACGGACGTGACGCCAAGGCTGATATCCTGGGCCGCTTCTGTGGGAGCAAGAAGCCGGAGCCCATCCTGGCCACGGGCAGCCGCATGTTCCTGCGCTTCTACTCCGACAACTCCGTCCAGCGGAAGGGCTTCCAGGCGTCACACTCCACAGGTGAGACCTGCCTCAGGCCAGGTGCCAGGCGGTTGGTGCCCCCATGCTTTCATTTGTCCTGGAGGCATCTGCTGATCCTGGTCTCACAAGCAGGCCCTGGGCTCAGGGAGGGGCATTTACAAAGGACTTGTGAAGGCTCAGATGGAGCCCGTGGCGTGGGTGGAGGGACAGTGTGTTCTGAGGGCCAGGCCCAGGGAGCAGAGAGCACTGAAGGGTGGGGGAGGGAAGCCCTGATTAGGGACTGTGATGAAAGACAATGGGGTGGGGAACCCAGGACAGGGAGGGGACACTCCGGAGTCCCCAATGGTAGGACACATAACTGTGCAGCAGCCCACCCACATTCCAACTCCCAAAATGCACTCGTTCCTTCATTCTACAGTGTTGATTAACATGCACCGCGTGTGAGGCAGTGTTCTGAGTGTGGGTCACAGAATGAGCGAAGCAGACCAACAGCTCAGCCTTTGAGGGGTTTCCTCTGCCTTCATTTGTTCGTTTATTCAACGACCACTTACTGAGCCCTGGTGCTGGGCAAGAGGACTCTGAGGGGCACATGGCAGTGAGTGGGGCACACGCCCTTCCCTGCCCCGGGACTCGCAGTCCCCCAGTGAGATAGGACGTGCACAGAGTTACAGCAGGAGACTGAGCATGATGAGGGCCTGGTTCTGGGTGTGAGTTGGTAGGGTCATTCCAGCAGGGGAGGAGCCCAAGCACAGCCACAACCCCAGGGCAGCTCTGGGTGTATGTACAGGTGACCACACGTCATTTAGTTTGGCTGGAGCAGTAGGTGTGTTAGGACAGCAGTGAAGTGGGAAGTGTGCAGCTGCAGAGAAAGTCTGGAGCCTGGTCCCGGGAGACCTTGATTGCCAGACCAAGGGGGTCAGCTGGGGGCTGCACCAGCTCCTTGTGGGTCTTGAGACACCTGTTGGGGAGTCCCCAGAACTGACAGGTTCACAGCCTCCCCTCCTCTCTTTCAACTCAGTCCCTCACCCAGGCCCTGGCCCACCCACTCCCCACTCACTCCAGGGAGATGTGACACCAGGTGTTCTAGAGGCCAGGGGGTGTCGGGAGGAGAGTAGATGCTGGTGGCCCTGCCCTACGTGCTCTCATTTGCCCCTCCCAACACAAGGGCACAAACTAGAGGCCCGGAACTCCGTCTGGCCCTCAGACCTGCTATGTTTGGCCCATACTGTGTTTTTTAAAAATGTGAGCCAACATTTAAAAATCAGGGGTTTTCACATAAAATCCAGATGTATGTCTTCTCTCTTAAGAATGGATGCTGTGGCAATGCAGGGCCCACATTCTTTCATGACAGCCATCAGCTGGGGCAAATTAGCAGCGTCCTCTTTTGACAAGCGGGCCCTCCTTGGCGCCTCGCCTGAGCCGGCTTCTGCCCGGTGCGTCTCTCGCCCTGTGGGCATCGACCCAGAGACAGAGCAGCAGAGCACTTGTTCTGGGCCAAACCCCCCAGCACCAGCCGTGTGGCCCTCTCCCAGGGCCTCCATCTGGTCAGGAGGGTTTTGCGTGGGGGGCGCGGTGCCCGGCCGGCGGCTGTGCTTGGGGAGTGGTGGCCGATCCTGTCGTCCCCCCGCAGAGTGTGGAGGCCAGGTGCAGGCGGAGGTGAAGACCAAGGATCTTTACTCCCACGCCCAGTTTGGTGACAACAACTACCCCGGGGGGGTGGACTGTGAGTGGGTCATCGTGGCCGAGGAGGGCTATGGTGTGGAGCTGGTGTTCCAGACCTTCGAGGTGGAGGAGGAAACAGACTGCGGCTATGACTACATGGAGCTCTTCGACGGCTACGACAGCACAGCCCCCAGACTGGGGCGCTACTGCGGCTCAGGGGTGAGGCCCCCACGCCCCCACCCCCCGCGCCCCAGCAGGGCCGGCTCCAGGGCAGCAGTGCCTTTGAGGCACCCTGCTGGCAAGGGCACGACAGCACGTGCTTGGCCCCTTGCAGGAGCTGGGAGACCTGGCGTGGCAGGTGGCTGCTCACAGAGGCCCTCCCTGTCCTGGGCTGTCCCCACCCAGGAGACTTGGTCCTTTTTGGCCGACACGGAGGTCCCTATAGCTTCTGGGACAGGCCCTGCCCTGACCCAAGCCTGCTCAGCACCAGTTTGGTTGGGCCTCCAGGGGAGCTGGCATCTGGGGAGGAGCATAGCGCTACCCCTGCCCCATCGTTCCCTTGCCTCAGTCCCAAGGCAGCTCACCAGGGCCTGGAGTGGGGGTGGAGGTTGGGGCAAGAGCCAGGGACCGGGGGCCTGAGCTGAGCTGCAGCAACCCGTCATTCTGGCTGAGCCGTAAAAATACCCTCATCTCTTCTTGGTGAGAGGCCAGCTGGTCCCAAAGCTGTTGGTGCTGCTGTCCAAGCAGATGCTGAGCATTTTTCTTGGTCCATAAAATGGCACTTTCAGAGACAGTTAGCAAAAATTTGCTTGATGAGATTTTAACTAAGGCCACAGGAAAACCACAAAGGTGGATTTATTTTCCTCCTAGTCAGAGCTTGTGGCTTCTGTTTTCTTCTTTTGTTTTTTTTTTAATCCTTTCCTCCTTCAGAGAACACTGTCTTCCCCCCATTACACACACACACACTCTTTTGCACATGCACTCACACTCATGCACACTCAGACATCCCCACCCTCCCATCGCCTCCCTGGTCCTTTGCCTCTCATGGCCATGCTCCAGGGCAGCCTGGGTGCCCCAGGAAAGGTTAAACTTCCCCAGAGCTGCGGCAGCTGCTGGACCCACGTTGGCCACCGAATCTGCCCTTAGTTGCAGGGCAGCAGCCTTTGTTGGATGGCAGGGACTGGACAGGACTGGGACAGGCTGGAGAAGGGGGAGGCAGGGCAGGAAGCGAGCACACAGCCCCCTTGCCTGCCTGGTTCAGCCACTCTGGAATCCCCTGGCTACCAACACCTCCTCCCCACTTTGCCCTTTGTAACTCCCTTGCTCTGACACATTTGAGTGAGTCACACACCAAATCGGATGTCCCCAGGTGGCTTCTTCCAGAGACTTCCACCAGGCTGGAGCCAACAGGAGGGGACCTGGGGAAGGAACCCAATCCTGTCAGGGCTTCCTGGCATAGTTGCTGGAAATGTCCCGAAAGTTCTGGGAAATGATTCTTTCTACGCCTGGAGGGCCAGGGAGTCTGTGTGTTGATGCTCTGCCGGTGGCTCTCCTCTGAGGGCTGCACAGAGAGGGGAGGAGGGGCTTGCATGAGCCTTGGAAGGGGCATCACCTGGAGCTGACCATGGCCAGAACTGGGGGAGGGTGGGAGGGGAATGGCTGAGTCCAGGGCTGGGGGCCCAGCTGTCCCACCTCCTCAGCTTGGAGAACAGGTGGCATTTGCTCCTGTTTGCCCTGGAGGGAAGTAAGGCCCAGAGATGGGCAGTGCCTTGCTAAGACCTCACAGCTAACTAGTTAGTAGCAGCACTGGGTTTAGAATGGAGTGTGACTCTGACCTTAAGCTCCTCTACCCATTGCTTTCTCCCCTTCTCCAGTTACCCCATTCAACTCCTGGTAGCAAGAATCTTCCTCTTGCTTTAAGGGGCTGGGGAATCTGGTGAAAGTCTGGAGCCCCTGCCTTCCTTAGAGCAGGGGATCTTGGGGAGGGAAAACAGCACCCACAGCCACTGTCCTCAGCCTCATGCCCCTCCCTTTCCTCTGTCAGCCCCCCGAGGAGGTGTACTCGGCGGGAGATTCTGTCCTGGTGAAATTCCACTCAGATGACACCATCACAAAAAAAGGCTTCCACCTGCGGTACACCAGCACCAAGTTCCAGGACACGCTGCACAGCAGGAAGTGACCACTGCCCTCACACAGGGGTCGGGATGGGAGGCCCGCTGCCCTCGGTCACCTGGACCGGACAGTGGGAGGTGGGCAGAAGGCAGGCACCCCGTCCCCATCCCCCAGGTACCAGGACCTGCAGGGCCAATGGTCCAGGTGAGGCTGTGCTCAGGAGGCGGGGGAATTGGACTCTGTGAGCCACTTCCCCACCAGAGCGAGGGGCCAGGGCCAGGGAGCCAGAACTTTCCCTGAGACACTTGAAGTGGCCATTCCTCTCTGGGGCCTGGCTGGTAGGGAGAGGGTCTGTCAGCAAGACCCACCCACCTTCCCTGCCCATCTCTCTGAGCTGCATTGTGTATAGCTGGAGGCATATCTTCATTGTAACGGATGTTTCCCACCCTTCTCCAACCTCGATTTGGTTTTATTTTAAGCCCTCACCTCCCCCTGTTTCCTGGGGCATGAGTTTCCCTACATGTCCCACAGGAGCCGCGGTGGGGAGGTGCAAGGAAAGGGGTGGGGAAACAAGACAGGGCTTCTCTCAGGCCCAGTGGCTGGTCAGCCACCCCAGGGCACCCCAGCCAATAAACGGAAAGTGTTACAGCCGGTATCCTGTGCCAGATGCTGTCTGGGATGTGGTGGGGAGGGGGTGTCTCACTCCAGATGTGCAGGCTTGCTGTGTTGGGCCAGCCCACAGCCAGGACACCTGGCCTCCTTGGCCGCCCTTCCTTCCCTCAATTCCGGGACCCCTGAGGGTGTGATTTCACACTCAGGCACACACAAACAGAGACACCTCACACACTTCAGCCTGCAGACGCACCACATACATACATTGCTCATAGCCCTCCCACACAACAGGAGGGCTGGAACGTTCTGTAAAGAGTCTGTTTGGTGGGGAGAGAGGAGGTATGTAAAAGGGGATAGGCATGTGTCTGTCCATCCAGTGGCCAGTGTCTGGGTCTTCTGTCTCTATGCCGTGGGAAGGGGCAGGGGGCTAGCTGCAAGGGCGTCTGGCCAGGCGACTCCACCAAGAGCCAGGAAACTGGCATCAACCGAAACAGATTCTGTAGCTGCAGTGCCAGCCTTCCTAAAGAGGCCAGGCACCGAGTGCCGGCCCCGCTTGTCCTTCTCTCCTCAGGGACACAAGCCGGAGGTGGCAGGCGCTGAGCAAACGCTCCAGCTCTGGCCCCTCCCAGGGCAACCCAGGGCCAAGGCCTGTCTGGCCTCCTCTCTCTTGAGCCAGGAGCAGGGCACAGACCTGTCTCTCAGAGACCAGGAGGATGGAAACCACATCCCTGCTCCTTCCCTTCAAAGGAGCCTCTCTCCCCCCTTTCTCTACATTCATCTCACAGGGAAATAAAGCCAAGACAGGACTCCGGTTCTTATGCCTAGGCTGCCACTCCCAGGTTCCAGAGAGAGCCCAGCAGCCTGGCTCCGCACCCTGGGGCTCCCTGAGAGCCTTCAGTGGGACTGTAGGTCTTTTATGGGCCCCAAGCTCCTGCTATTGCAAGGGCAGATGTGCTGATGATGTCTACACTATGTGGGGGGACCCGCCCCAGGGAGCAGTATGGCATGGTGCACCCCATATTGGCTATTTAAGCAGAAAGTAGTCATGGCAACCAGACACATTTTGCTAGTGTGCTGTGTGCATGCAGGACTCGCTCCTTCTAGGAAGCCAACCTGCTCCCACGGTCAGGCTGCAGCCCTTTCTTCCAGTCCTGACCTCAGGCAGGTGAGGCCTTGAAGCCCTGTGAGGGAGCAGGCACTACCAGGAGGGGTTACTGCTGATGGCTCCAGTGAGGTCACAGGTTGTGATGTCACAGCCCCCTCCTGCCTCCACCTCCTCTGAACGGGGTGCTCAGGACAGCCTGCAGGGCCACGAGCAGAATGTAAAGGCCCCAAACCATTAGAGCCGCCTGGGCATCTCACCCAGACATTTTGCCAACCAACTTGGCATCAACTCCTCCATGGCAGAATTTGTAGTCAGTGGTCGCAGCTCTCTTCACCAGCCCTCCAGATTCCTTGGAAGCTTAGAGGCCCACACTCCAGTTCACAAGCCACGTATTGGAAGGAACCGGTATCATAACCCTGTCCAGACTGCGGCACTCTGGCCCACAGAGAATTCTCAATCCTCTTCCCTGAGCAGGACCTCTGCGAACAGCAAGACCACAGCCCAAGGCAGCCACCCTTGGTACCCGTCCCAAGACTCCATCACCACCATAGGCTGAGACCCCTTCAATGATTTAGGAACCCATGCCAGTGGGCCTCCCAGTCTTCCCTGGGCCCATCTTCAGACGGGGCCTCCAGATGGTGGAGGCTGCTCAGGGGCTGGCTACAGGCCATGGAGACATATTCCAGAACTTAATCAATTAATATGTACTCAGGGCCCAGCCCATGATCACCTGCTAGCTGCTTCAGGGTTCGAGACTAGATCAACTCCAGTGCAGCTGCCCATCAGCTCAGGTGACTCCACGTCGGAGGGAGCTGCCCTTGTTCCTCCAACTGTCTCCAAGCCCCTGAGACAACCCCCCTGGGTCCTGAGTGCACGGCCGGCAGTGGAAGGTAGGATGGACCTGCCCTAGACTGTGCTCCCAACCCCGGTAACCAAGCTGAGACAAACACGTACCCCAGAGCCTTGGCCTCCTCCTGCGAGCACCTCTCCAGTCCTGAGAGGACAGGTCAACAGCACTAGACTCCTGGAGTCAGGAGACTGGCTCTGCCATGCTTTGCCCTGTCATGTGTCCCCCAGCTGTCCCCTCCTGGGCCTCTGTCCCCAAGCCTGTCACCTTTCCTCAGTTGAGAAAACGCAGTGTGTAGTCTCCAAGCTGCCAGCGGGTGGGGGCCAGGTTCTGGAAGCTGCTGGGGCCCTCCCCAGAGGTGGGGGCTTCCAGGGTCAACGGTTGGCTCAATTGTGAAAGAGGGAAAATCAGATTGCCCCCTTACTCCTTTTTCCTCCTTTTCCCTCCCTCTCCCCCTAACCCCACATGCTTCTCAGTCATGAAAAGGTCACAAACTTGAATGCAAACAGAGCCGGTTTTGAAGATGAGCTCTACCGTTTGGTGGCTATGTGCCCCTGAGTGAGTCATTTAACCATCTGAGCCTCGGTTTCTTCATCTAGACACATGGGATGCTAACACCTCACAGGGCTGCTAGGAAGGCATGAGACACCCTTGGAAGAAAGCCTGTGGCTGTGTGGCAAATAGGAGGCTCTCCTTACGTGGGCCTTCTCTTTCTTTCCTCTGCCAGACAATTTCCCAATTCCCGGACTACTCCTTCCTGTGCTAAAAGGAAAGTTCTGGGCACACTAGTTTCCAGTCGGGCGCTAGGAGCTCAGTGCAGAACTACTGCCAGAGAGGGCAATGCTTAACCCACAGCCGGGCGGGGCTTTGGGGCAGCAGGGGACATGTTGCTGGCTAGCTGGTAGCCTTTCTGGGCACCTCCCAAGTCACACCCGTGCTTGACTGTCCCTACACACGGCTGATTCTAGAATCCATGAAAAGATTTGCTGCTCCACTTTGTAAAAATAGTAGTGCCTGACTTGGGGAGCTGGGGACAGGACAGCCAGATGTTTTCCCCAGAGAGCCACGAGGCCCCCAACCCAGTCTCCTGCTGACCAGCCAGCTTCTCCTGCTCTGCCCACTCGCAGCCCAATGCCCACCCCTCCCCCACACCAGGAACATCTGGTTCCAATCTCCTCCAGTGCTGTGGCCAAGCTTTTTTATGGCCAATCACCTTGGCTCAGCTTCCTGAAGGCCTCTCTCGCTATTTGGGGGAATGGTCCTTCCTCATCCCTTTCCTTGAGACCCCAGCCACCTCTTTTCCTAACATGGAGAGGAAAAGAGACACATCTCAAAGCCAGTTGATACTGAGGGTCCTCAGAGCTGGCGCCACCCCTCCTACTACCTGGGGGCACCTGTCATCCACCCAGGATTAAAAGAAAAGATGCCGACCCAGGAGGAAAGGGACAGGCAGGGAAGGGAGGTGTACATCTGGGCAGAGGAGAGACAGAGTGTGTGCAGGGGGGAGTGTGAGTGTTTGTGACCACACATACGTGTTGGGTGTGTCTGTGTGCTTGCACAGTAGAACACCCACCTGTAACCAGGGGGCGCCCTTGGCGGCTACTGCCTCATTTCCCTTGCTGCCTGCGCTGGAGCAGGGCTAACTCAGGGCCCCTCTGCTGGACATGGCAGCTGCACTCTAAGGTTGTCCCTCACCTGCAGTTCTCTTTGGCTGCCGAGGCTGTCTTCTAAACCCAGCCCAGGCGGCAATGTGTGCCTGTGCGCGCCCTCACACGGAGACAGCCTTCTCTCCTTCCACCAGGTCAGATTAGAGGGACACAGACCAGAGGGGACCCTAGGGCGGACTCCAGCGGATGTCCTGACCCAGCTCGGTCTGACCAGTGCCTCGAGCAGCCCAGGGCTGCCTGTGTGCCAAGGGGCAGCTGTCTGGAGAGTGGAAGGAAAAACAGGCTCTCTGGAGGAAAACTGCCTGCGCCACACCCCAACCCCTGCCTCAGTTTGCCAGCTTCATCCCCCCTAAGAGGAAACTGAGAGCCAATCTCTCCTCCTAAGAAACCCAGAAGAGTTTGCAAAAGGAAGACTGAAGCCTGCACCTCTGGAGGGCTCTGAAAGCCCCTCAGCTCAGGATGTGGGGGTCTCGCCCAGAGGTGGAGGGATGCACCGTGGGGGTCACTCCCCATCCTTGGGATTCTGGACTACAAGTATTGCCCACTACTTCTTTAAAACAAGCCTCCCTGGCACCTGCGATTCCAACCCTCCCCCCGCCCCCCGGTGTCACACATAAACTAGGCACAGCCTTGGTCAGCAGAAGAGATGTGGCGATGGGGAGGGCCACTGAGTCTGAGACAGGCCCTACCCATGTCTTACTGTCCCAGGCAGCCCCTGGCACACACTAGGGGAGACCAGGCAGTGAAATGGGAAGATGTTAGCTTTTCAGTCAAATCTTGGGTACTGGCAGTAAGACATGGGCAAGACTTTTAACTTCTTTGTGCCTCATTTTTTTCATCTGTTAAATGGGAATAGTACAGCGCAGGACCATCGTGAAGACTAAAGGAGCTGAGGTGTGTGAAAGCACCTGGCCTGATGTCTGGCACATAGTAGGCCCCCCAGGGAGTGGTGCTTACCCTTCAATGGCGCTTTCCTCCCTAGCCCAAGGAGGCCATGTCCCAAACTCTGGATGACAAATGTTCATTTGGCCCTGAGCCAGGCAGTGTCAGCAAGGTGACTAATTTTTCTGGAGCTTTTCCGCTCCAGCAGAGGATCATTTTAATAAGTCCATAACAATCAATGCAGAGGTGCCTCAGATCTGCAAACAAGGAGCCCTGCTGGGGAGGGGACCCTGGTGCTCTGGGGAAGGGACATTCAGTGGCATCTGGGTCTGATGCAATGGCAGGCTGCTGCAGTGAGAAGGGCTCCAAACGGGGGGCCTGGGGACCTTGGTTAGGCCTCCCATTGCTACAGGTTCTCCCCTGAGAGGCCTCAGTTTCCCCATCTGCAAAGTAGGACCAAATGACCTCAAAGTGCCTTCCCAGCTGGAGATGTGGCTCTGCTTTCTGAGCCCTGCCTCCCACAGCGAGATTTGGAACACCCCTCGTGACGATTCCAGGTGGCCTGTCCTGGGGGGCATCCCCATCTGAGCTCCTCTGATTGTACAGTGTGCCCACCACACCCCTCTCAGAGCCAAGGAGACGGGGGCTCTCAGGCCGTGGTGGTTTATTGATGCACACGCAAGCACAGCACAGGTGTGTGTGTCCCCAGCCCAGGGCAGACACAGGGTCAGGGGAGGGCAGCGAGCCACCCCCACAGCAGTGCCATCTGCAGAGGGAAAAGGGCCCGGGGGCTCATGTCCTCTCCTCTCCACACATCTCCCAGGGCCTCCAGACCTGATCCGTGCCCTGGAGACAGCTGACCACCCCACTCCAGGGGGCTACAGGCGATGCAACCAGCTGTCCCACCGGCCCCTCATAGAGACGTGGCCCTTTGGGCCTGCCAGTCCCTTCCGTCCTCCGCCAAGAAATCTGGCCATCACTGTGGGCTTCTCTCCTCCACCTCACATCCCTTTCATCATCCCCCGAACAGCTGGCTGCCTCCATCAGCACCTCTCCCCGTCACCCACCTGGTCTGCTTGTCTCAGGAGGTCTACCCTCACCACCCTCCTGACCCGTACAAAAGTAGGAAACAGGTGAAAACCTGGGAGGCCCAGGGAAGACCACAAAGGACTCCGAAGGGAAGGGGTTCTCCGCCGAGAGGCTCGCAGGGGGCGGGAGCCAGTGGGTGTGGACGGGAGGGGGCGGCAGGATGCCACAGTCCAGAGCACACACAGGCACAGTGCCATCACAGTTCCGTGGCAGAGAGTGAGCAAAGCGCACAGCCGGGCAGGGGGCCAGGGCTCTGCGGGAAAGCCCTCAGTTCTAGCTCCACACGGGTCCCCTCAGGCCAGAGGCAGCCCACTCCCAGCTGAGGAAGGGGTCCTTCTGGGTCTCAGGGGTCTCTTTCCCCCTCCTCGACCTCAGTGGCTGCCATTCCAAACCCCAGCGCTCTGAGTAAGGGGAAAAGTACTCTGGGGTTTATATCATCTCCAGACAGAAGAGGAACAATCCCAACAGCCTGGGGCCCCAAAGCCAAGAGGAAAAAGAGGACCCTTCTAGAGGGTGGGTGGAGAGGAGAGGACGGCTCTCCCCATGCAGGAAGAGGGTGCTGTGGGGCGAGGAGCAGCCGGGGTCACAGCGGTGCAGGAGACTATTTATAGAGGGAAAGGGCGGCCTGGAGGGGGGAAGCCCAGGGGGCCCAGCTGAGTGGGGAGGGGCATTCTGTGTGGGCCCTGAGTGGGGCGGGTGGGGCTAAGGAAGAGCACCCCACAGCTCTCTGCATCGCCTCTGGAGGCAGGCAAGCTACACATGGGCTTTGGCCCGGAGAGGCTTCCCTGGGAGGGCCCGGAGGCTGCAGGTCTCCATGAGATGGAGGCCCGGGATGAAGCGAGAAACTGCAGGACAGGGAAACCGGGGGAAGGGGAGTCTCCAGAAATCCACCCCCCCACTCCAACCTACTGAGGCTAAGAAGCCTTTCCAAGTCCACCAGGCATGGGCGGGCCATGCCTACCAAGAGGACTACTCTCTATTGCCTCTAATGCCAAGGGGTGGGAAAGGGGGAGACTGATGGTATGGAGGGAGCAGGGGGGCAGAGGAGAGAAAGCCAGCTCCCTGAACCTATGCCACCCATCGCCTCCCTGCCTGTCATCTCTCCCTAGACCCCCGGCTCCCCAAGCGTCCCTAGCGGCCCACACTGATGTTGCAGGTCTTGCAGCTGGGGTCCTTCTTGGCATCGGCAGTGGACAGGCTCATGAGCTGGTGCCCGCTGATCTCGCCCAGGGTGCCCAGGGACAGGTCGACGGGCTCCGTGTAGATGACCTCCAGGATGAGGTCCTGGGCGTGGCGGAAGACCAGCTCCCCATCCTCCACGCTGCAGGTCAGGAACTTGTTGCAGGCAATGTCCAGGAGGGGCAGGCGGTCACGGCAGAAGCGGTCCCCCAGGGAGCCCTTGGGGGCCAGCACCAGGATGGCATAGTGGTAGGCCGTGTACATACAGTAGAAGTCCGCAAAGTAGAGGTTGGTGCTGGGGTTGAAAAGGCGCTGGGCGGGGATCTGGAAGCGCCAGCGGCCGTAGGGGGAGTCCTGGGGGGGCTGGCCGGTGTTGAACTCCGTGTTGCAGCTGAAGAAGACGCCGTGGAGCATGCCGCTAGTTGGGGAGCCGTGGCTGCCACTGTTGTCCTTCAGGTAGGGCTGCAGCATGTTCCCACAGTGGGTTCTACCCACCCCAGGGGAAAATGCCAAAGGGAAGAGAAAATGTCACTGATTAGCTGGGCTGAGGCTTGGCTGCTGTGTGTGGTTGAGAAGGGAGCCAGCCCAGCTCCCAGCTCTCCCACCAGCTGGCGCCTCCGCCAGTCACAAATAGAACATTCCAGAATGCTAGAGCAGGGAGGGCCCTAGAGATAGGCTGATCCAGCCCACTTCTTCACAGAGGAGAGGTCTGAATCTGCCACACCCCAGCTTAAAACCCTTTGATGGGGCTTGCGTGAAAAGCAAGGCCATAAAGCTCTGATCTTTCTCGCCCCACCTTCTACCACCCCCACTCCACAGATAACATCCTCTGGCCAGGTGTAAACCTCACCTGGGCTCTTTCCTGCATCTGTGCCTTGGCAGCGCTCTTCCCTCTCCCTGGACTGCCCTTCCCACCTTTTCCTACCTGGCCTGGCAAACTCCTAATCAGCCTTCAAGGCCGAGCACAGGTATCCCCTCCTCCCTACAACCTTCCAGGAACATCAGGCGTTTGCATTCAACAAAATTTTGACTGCCTGCTATGTGCGGGACACTGAATTTTACTCAACAATCACACATACTTATTACATTGAATCTGGCTGTACTGTCCCCCTGATAGACTCTGAGATTTTCAAGAGGGGGGGCTCTGCCTTTATTCATCTTTATATCCTGGCACGTATGGGTGCTCTCCCTCTCTCTCTTACTCGCTGATAGAGGAGCCCAAACTGGGCCAGGGCCTCACTGCTCACCTCGCTGCCTCCCTTCTTTAGTACAAAGACACCAAGGACCCAACTGGTCCCCGCTGCCCTGGGGGAGGGACAGATGCGCTGCCCAGCTGAACGCAATGACAAAGACAGTGGTCTGCCGAATGCAGCGTGCCCTGGCCCAGCCTCAGAAGGACGTGGACATGGAGCCATCTCAGCAGGCATGGGGAGGATGGGCAGCCTCTGGTCCAGCCTCACTCTTGCCTGGGCCTGGCTCTCCTGAGTGACTAGTGCCTCGCTGGCCCTCTGGGCCTCACGCTCCCCCTCTGCAGACTGAGGGTGTTGGATCGGATCATCAATTGGATCAAACATTGGACTACAGAACCTCTCTCTTTTCTCCCTGCAGGAAATTATACATAGATGTCGAGCCACAGGCAAAAAAATTGAAGCTGCTCCAGATAAATGATACATGTGGGGCCTACCAAGCCTCATCCTCTGATTTCCTTGACGCCACCCTGAGGGGTGCCCAGAGACACCTCCCTGGAGCCTCCAGGCTCCCCAGCACATAGTTTGAAAACCAGGACCCTTCATGCTCAAAATCCTTCCCCTCTGTGCTCCCCTCACCACCTACCCTTGGGACCCGGGCCCTGAATTAGAGACACAGCTGGCCTGTGGCATTAGAACCCAGGGAAAGGAACTGTCCCAAAGGAGCTTGAACTCAGGACCTTGTTCACCCAGGATCTAACGGCCTGCTAGCACGGTTCCCCCAGGCAGCCCCGTCCTGAGAGCCCTCTCCATCCCTGGCGTCGAGTCCCAAGCAGCCAGTCGTCCCCTCAGAGCCAGTCTGTGATATGAGGGAATGGGGACGCTGGAGGAGGGTCTGGCAACCGACAGGGCAGGGGGGAGAGCCAGCCAGCCAGGGTGGGCGTGGGCAGGCGTTGGGGAAGAAGGAATGAGCTGGCGGCCCGCTGTACCTGGCATGCTGGAAGTACTCCTTGTGATGGTTGCGGTAGAAGACAGAGAAGCGGAGCATGCGGCCTGCGATCTGCTCAGCCTTCTCCTGCAGCTGGGCCAGGTGCTCCTTGGCATAATCTGCAGGAGGCCAGGTGAGTGAGCCAAAGGCCAGGCAGGGCATCACAGCCTCTCCCCCACCCCCCACTCACCCACCGCACATCATGAGCGCCAGCCCACCTCTGTCCTCAGTGGCCAGGGACACCAAACAGTCACAGTGCCTTGCACCACATAGGAAAGGGCCTGGCTGGGAACATGGACATCTGGATGCTGTCTGTCCTTGTCCCCTCTGCGCCCTCACTGCCAGAGGCTCGGGGCTCTGTGCGTCAGAAAAGAGCAGGATACCCAGTTATATGACTGGGGGCCCCGGGGGTTATAATCCCAGGCCATCCTCATGTGAAAAGATGACCAGCAGGCAAAAGAAGGACTGAGACGGGAGAATTTGAGGTCCTTGGCAGAGCCGCTCCAATCTGGCAGGCAGGAGGCCACCACACCACCCATATGGAAGCCAGTGTAATTACAGGTGGAGGCTCATGAAGAGCCTGTGAAGAACCGAGCCTTGGCCTCACAGAGGTGAATGTTCAGGCAGACCAGCGAATGGGGCGATGTACACGTTAGACAAACGGGCTCTTTCCTCTTTGGTGATGTAGGCCTGGTCGGGGCGCTGTGTTAGGCAAGAAGGGTGCTGCCAGGACTGCACCCATCCCCAGCTCCCCAGTTTGAACTAAACTCCCGCCACACATGGTGTTCTGGGGTAAACCAAGAGCTTGCCCCTCAAGGAGCAGAATACCTCCAGAGAGTGGGGTTTTGCAGCCAAGCCAAGAAAAAGTGCCCCTCAAAAGAAAACAGGAGCTCAAGGAGACTTGGGGCACAGACCTTGGCAGAGGATGGAGCCAGCAGCTTGGAGGCCCAGGGCTAAGAATGTTTCCTGCCCTGTCCTTGTGACAGACGGAGATCTGGAGCAGTTCTCCCCGTGGACACCAAAAAAATGGAATATTATGGGGCGGATCCTGGGTCATCAGTGACCAAGTACACATAAGCCTAACGTCTGTTCATGCTGGAATTTGCACGCTAAGTTCTGCCAGGAGAGTTTGTGGGACCATTGAATAGGGGTCATTTTCCCAGGCTAAGCGGAGGCTCAAGACAAGCAAAATGTGATTGCCCCACAAGTGCCCATCGGCTGACGGTCGGTAAACAAAACGTCGTCTAGCCACACAAGGGGATATTATTCAGCCTTCAAAAGGAAGGAGGGGCCGGCCCGGTGGCGCAGCGGTTAAGTGCGCACGTTCCACTTTGGCAGCCCGGGGTTCGACGGTTCGGATCCCAGGTGTGGACATGGCACTACTTGGCACGCCATGCTGTGGGAGGCATCCCGCGTATAAAGTAGAGGAAGATGGGCATGGATGTTAGCTCAGGGCCAGTCTTCCTCAGCAAAAAGAGGAGGATTGGCAGCAGTTAGCTCAGGGCTAATCTTCCTCAAAAAAAAAAAAAAAAAAGGAAGGAAATTCTGACACATACTACAAGATGGATGAATCTTGAGGACCTGCTAAGTGAAATAAGCCAATTATAGAAGGACAAATACTGTGTGACACCCCTCACGTGAGGTACCAAGACTAGTCTCATCCATGTGTGTCTTCCTGAAGGCCTAAGCACGGGGCCTGTGTCCAGCCAGTGTCCGTGCGTGTCTGCTGCCCCTAACTGAACCAGACGTGCCAAAGCAGCAGGACAGCAGGGCCTCACCCCCAGTGCAGAACTCCACTGTCTCGCTCCAGCCTGACACCAGGTACTCCCCGTCGCTCTGCTTCACGGCAGTCTGCACCGCCACGCTGTACTCCGTGCGGGGGCTCAGGAACCAGTGGCCTCTCACTGTCATGGGCAGTGGCACGGCCTTGGCCACAAGCTTGGTGGGGACATCCTGAAAAATGCAGTCCAGTCAGAGAGCCAAGAGCCAACCTGGGGGTGATGCCCAATCTTGGCATTCTCCCAGACCTCCCACTCCCCAGATGGCCCCACTCCTCTCTGAGGAGGGCCAGAGTCTCAAGGACGCAACGGCCTGGTGCCTGGCCGCCATGTTCCTGCAGAAGCAAGCAGTGACCATTGAGAAGGCCTTACAGACACTACCCAGCCTCTGCCCCTCCTTAACCCTTCCAGCCCCACTTGTCCTCTTGGGAACTGACGAAAAAGGCCAATGGGGTGGAGGCCCACAAAGTTGAGGGCGGGAGACCTTCATTTTCGAGGGAGACTTCGAGAGCTCTGCACACTGCAGTGCCGTCTCCACGGCAACGGCAAATGCTTAGAAGCCAGAGAGGAAGGGAAAATATGCTTTCTTTAGAGGGGAGGGTTAAGGGGGTGGTGTTGAACATTCACGTCACCGTGGCAACTGGCCTGCCAAAAGACACCCAGATTGGGAGAGCCAGTTCCAAAGAGAGAGAGGGTGAGTAACCCACAGGATGCAGTCGTCGTGGGAACGGGCTCCCGCCCACCTCGCTCTTCCCCCTTCCTCTCTGCCAGCCGCCCCCACACCAGCTTTAACCCAGGAAAAGGATACCCCAGCCACTGGAGGACTCTCTCATGCTCCTTTTCTAAACCCAGAAAACAATAAGCCAAGGGGCCAAGGGCAGAGAGGATCATAGGGCCTGAGGGGGGACCACTGAGCACGGAACAAAGGGTCCCACCCCTGCCCTCAGCCGCGTTGCTCATTCAGTCAACAAGGCTGCTTTCTGATTCGGGGGGCTTTGCGGGAGCCTGAGCACCATCCCCAGGTGTGAAGTCTGTGGCCCTGCCCCGGGTTTCCCCACCAGGTCTGAAGCCCCAGTCATGATGGCCAGTAATGGTGTTTGCTGAGTGCTGGCCCCGAGCCAAATACCACCCAAACGGAAGCCTCTCTCAAGTCTATGGGGCCGGCATTATTATGATGCCCTTTTTACCAGTGAAGGAACTCGGACTCAGAGAGGTTGAACAACTTTTCCAAGATGACACAGTAGGAAGAGCCTGGATTTGAATCATCCCTCTGGACTCCCAGCTCCCACCCACAGGCGGTCCGTTACCCAGCCTCCTTCAGGGACAGGTGTTGGGAAGAGGCTCTGGGCACCCTCCACTCACTCGGTGCTTGAACTTGTTGGAGTTCTTGTTCTCCTTCTTGTTGAGGTCAATGAAGTAATGGGTGACCCTCTCCAGGTCACTGTTCTCCATGGTCCAGGAGATGCGGAAGGAGTCACAGGTGATGTTGTTGACCTCGATGCTGTGGGGTGTGGACAGCAGCTCCATGCTCCCCTCTGGTTTGGCTCCTGTGGGGACTGAAGCGAGAGGAGGAATCAGCACCACCCTCCCCATCACGGAGTTTTCTGGAATGTCTTAGTCCCAACATCCCTCACAAGGTGGAACCTTGAGGATCCTGCCTCATCCAATCTGATGGAAAGATTGCATGGGGAAGACTGGAGGGGAGGGACCAAAGGTGGGGTGGGGTGGCCCCCGGGGGGGCTCTTGGCTCTCCTTGGAGGGGTCTGCAGAGCAGACGGCACCTGACAGGTGGCAGAGGCAGTGGGAATGCAGCAAACGCCGGGCTGGGACAGATTTGCAGCAGATGGAGCTGGGGGGGGGGGGGCGGGGGGGCGGCAGGCCTCAGCCAGCAGGCGTGAGAAGAGAAAGGAGTGGGGGTGGAGATAACTGTAGGAGGTGTAGGAGAGACAGGAAGCACCCTGGAGGAGATGGGTGTGAGGGTTGAGGCAGGCAGGGGGCGCTGGCAGCCAACAGGCCAAAGGTGCTAGGGCTCTGGGGCTCAGGTCTCCCTCTTCTCTGGGGTGACTCAGCGGGAGTCACCATGAGGCAAGGCTGGGAGTACAAGTGTCATGGAGATGCGCATGGACCCACTGCTGGTGAGAGGGGTAGCATCACCACAGCTCTTCCTCCACCCGTAACTTTTCGACTATCACTCTCGCTTTCAGCAGATCTTCTGTTGATTGACTCTTAAATAATTAGTTTTACCTTTGACATCTATTGCGGGTCACCTGTGTGCTAATACTTGCATAAACATCATCTCTCGCAAGCCTCACAATAGGGAGGTATCACAGTTATCCCCATTTTACAGATGAGGTAGCTGAGGTTGGGGCTACTAAGTTGCCAAAAGTCACATACTAGAACTCAGGTCTATCTGGCTCCAGAGCCCAAGCTCTTTGTGATTAAGCTAAGATTGTGTTTCGTGTGTGTGTGAGTGCATGACGAGTGTCACATGTGTAGCATATGTGTATGTGTAGGTGCACGTGGTGTCACCACTATTTCCCTCTCAAGCAATTGCATTTTCCCTCGCTCCTTCGCTCCTACCCCCCGCTGCTCTTCCGGGTATGGAAGGACCACACAGCCATCACTCTCCCCTGTGCTTTAGCTAGAGAGAACTGACTGGCCTTGACTTTGGGCCTGGCTCATGGGAGCTCTGGGGACCAGGCTGGGGCAGTGAGGGGGACAAGAGAGCAAGTGTCTCTGGGGCAGGAACGCGAACGCAGGCTGGACTTTCTCTGGGGCGTTGGCTTAGTCCCCAGAGCTCACGCTCTCCCGGTTCTTCCTGAAGCCATCCCTGCCCACCTCAGATTTCTGGAGTGTCATCTCCTTTTCTCCTCCTTCCCTCTTCCTCTCCTCTCCTTGCCCAGGTGCTAAGGGTGAGGGTACCTTGTGCCTTCAAAAGCAGGTACTTCTATTTATAGCTTCCAGATGATCCAACCCACACTTTCCTGTCAATTAAACCTGCTCTGGAGCCTGGCACCTCTAAATTAACCCGTGGGCTGCCTAGGTGGCAGGCACAGGGTGACGGATGTGAGTGACGGCCCTTATCTGTCCCAGGGTGTCACCTGAGTCCTTGTTTCATCTTAGCTTTCCACCCTAAAGCATGTGACTCCCTGTTGTGAACTTCAGCCAAATGCCAGTGGCTTCGTATACAGGGAGTCCTATGGTAGACAAGCATGAGGGTGCTACCAGGTCCACCCCAAAATAAAACAGGATGGGATCAGGTGTCTAGAAACAACTATATGATAATAAATCAGTTTGTAATTCATGGGGACCAGTGTGGAGCAGTGGGGAGTCGCCATCCCGCGGGCTCCCAGTGAAGAGCTCCCTAGGGAGACACATGTGTGTTTTCCACATGCACACACACAAATGCACCCACTCACACCAACATAGACACATTCCCCCCCCAGAGAGAGCCTGAGCAGCCACCTTCCACCCACATGGGGTGCAGTCTACGCCTACCCCACGGGTGGGCACCTCTTCCTGCCTTAATACTCTACTCAAAGGCTTCCCAGGGACAAGGGCAGCCGTCTTTGGTGGTGGGGTCCCCAGGACCTGGCTCACTCTTCCCTCCCTACAGTTCAGGGGGACTGCAAGTCTTCCCCCATGCTAGTTTGGGGGAGCAGCAGTGAGTGAGCCTGGGAGAACAGTAAAACCCGGGTGGGCAAGGGTGGGTGTGAACCCCGCCTCTCCAAGCCAGGTGATCGGGGAAGGGCAGGGTGTGAGGGACACAGGTTGAGGCAACACCTGAAAAACACCCACACTCTTTTGTGAATCCACTCGAGACAAGCATTTACACACCCCCACACAGGCAGGCACACCCCCCACATGCACACACGCACCAAGTATGCCCACTCACACCCTGCCACACATGGGCTGCACACACCTCCTCAGACATTCTCGCTCCCACACTCACCTACGCACTCAGGTACCTTCCACCACCTGCCACTCTCTAAGAACATCCCACAATTTTCCCCCCACAAGCTGTCACCTCCACACAGATCAACACATGTTCACGTCCACAGGCTCACGAACACACATATGCACGCACACTTTCTCACAAGCCATATTTGGGGGAAAAAGGAAGCCACAGGCACCAACATGCATGCGTGCCACCTCCATAGAAGGCATGCAACCCACATACCTGCTTGTGCACACATGCCCATCTGCATACACGTAACCCTGCCCATGTTCCAGTATTCTCCCTCAAGTCTTCTCCAGGCTCAAAGACACAGACTTTGGAAACGTGTTTGCCTCTAGCCACACTCTGCCAGCCCAAATCCTGCACATGCCAACAGGTCTGCGCCCCTCTGCAGGTCCGCCCGCAGACAGTGGCTTCTGCCCACACTCTCCACCTACCTGCCCCCTTCTGCTCTGGAGTTGCGCCTCCCCACACAGAAACCCTCTGCTTGCATACACTCCCCCTCAACATGTACTCCCACACCCATGACAAGTGAAATGTCCACCCCGTAAACATGCTGCCTCACACTGCCCTCGCTTACATCCACGCACAGGCTGCTCAGACAAGTGATCCCTCCACACATGTACCTCACGTGAGCAAGAAACATATGTTTCTAGACATGCCACACAGCAGTCCAAACCCACACATGAGCACAAGTGCATGCAGACAGAACTATCTACGCAAGCAAAGCTCCAGTCTCCTTGCGAACATGCACACACGTCGTACACACAGACACCCCTTGTTCGTGCCCATTCGGAAAAGCCACCTGCATGCCAGAGGGAAAGCTGCCCCCACCCCGCTGTCCTGTTGGCATCACTGACTGCAGCAGAATGGTCACGGGGTGACTGGTGCCCTGGGGACCAGACCCAGCTGTTAACCCGTTGGCCAAGGGCCTGGGGGAAAGCGGACAAGGTTGTCAGCCCTGGCAATCCAGGTGAGCACAGCAGGCAGCGGCAGGACCCTGGTGCCCCCCAGCTCCTAGCCCCTGGCCACCCGAGTCCCTCTTGGGATTGCCAGCAGGATGCTCCAGGGAGGAAGGGCACCCACCTGGCTCCACCGGGCTCTGCAGAAGAAAGACCTGGGAGGGAGAGAAGGGCGAGACTTCTGTGTGGATGGGCTCCCCAGGCGGAGGGCAGCACTGGACGCCTGGTCACGGGCAGCGGCGCTCGCTCCCTCCTCTCACTCTTCTCACAGCTGCCCAGGAGGCTTCTTCCATGCCCCGCAGGCAGCTCCTGCCTGGCTTTGCAGTGAGCTGCTGCTGCTGCCCCCGGAGAGGCGACGTTCTCAGCGCAAGGAGAGAGGCAAGAGCGAAATCAAAGCGGTGAGGAGGAGAGAGAGGCAGAGAAGGCAAGAAACGACGAGAGAGCCAGACCGAATCTGGCTCCACCAATGGGATCAGCGGCTGCCCAGCGTCAGGTGACAAGAAGCAAGCTTGGTCCCTGCTTGCCTGGGCTGGTGGGAGGGAGAAAGGGCAGAGGGTCTCCCAGGGACTCCACAATGTCCTCAGAGACAGCAGCTGCCACCTTTCCCTCGTTCTTCCAGGACAAGCAGCCCTCAGAAGAAGTCCCTCCAACACACCCGTACTTGGAAATCCCTCACTTGAGTGCAGCCCCCAAACTTTAGGATGTCGGGAGAGGGGTGGGGCTTAGCCCAGGGGCTGGGGAGCCCGAAGCAAGGATTCTGACTGGGGGAAGGAGAGAGGGGCTGTGAGGGGAAGGGCCCAGATGGGGTATGGGAGCTGGTGGGGGAGGGGAGGGTCTGTCTTCAGTCTGGATTCTCTCCTCGGGGCCTTGTGCTGATCCTTGGCCCTGTTTTCTTACCAACTCTATCAAGAGATATCAGACCTGCAGCCCCAGGGAAGCCTGCTCATCTAGGAAGAACCCCTGGCTGCTTAGGTGTCTCCAGAGAAAGGGGCAAGAGAGAGAGGCTGTAGGGCCATGAAGGGTGTACAGAGGCAAGAAAGCGGGGCTGGGAAGGACATACAGAGCTTGGAGTGTTCACATCCCGGACAAACATCTGGTTCAGAGGAGCCAAGCCCTGAACACTTCACCCAGGGTGAGTGTTATCTGCTCTCTTATCCATAGGAGGCTTCCTACCACAAAGACATGAGGACCCCGTGGACTCCATGGTGAAGAACACTCAAGGAAATCTGAATCAAGCAGCAACAGTAGCAAAGAGTGTGAGCAGTGTGGAAAAGCATGGGCTTTGCAGCCAGACAGATATGGTTAAAATTCTTGCTCTATTACTGTCTAGACAGGTGACCTTGGCCAAGTTACTCGACCTCTCAGAGCTTCAGGTCCATCTGTCAAATGGGATAATAACGCAGGTTTATTGTCATCATTGAATGAGAAATTATGTAAATCACTAAGCTCTGGGCCTGGTACACAAGTGCCCACTCACCCATCAGAGCTATTACTGCCATCATTATTGACAGTGTCTGCCTGCAAGGAGCGCACCCTCTTCTAGGGGAGAAAAGGTGGACATTTAGAGACGCAGTTAGAGAACAAAGAGTGTACAGCTAAATAGCAAGGTTCGGATAAGAATTCAGAGAAGGAGGGGTCAGGACCAGCTCCAGAGCACAGGTGGAACGCAGCCAAGAGGAGACCGTGGGAGCAGAAGTGTGGTGGGGGCAGGGCAGACTTAGCCCGGGGACAGAGGACAGACCACACAGGCCCTGGCGAGCCCCTCAGAGAGAAACAGAAGGCATGAGATGAGGACAAGGGACAGTCACTAAGAGGGACTCAGGGGCTGCAGACATTGGAGCAAAGGTTAGAGGAGGCGACAGTGGACAGAAAGACAACAGTTCACAGAAAGCAAAGACAAGCAGAAGCCAATCCTCCCCTCACTGGGTGTGGAGAACCCAAGCAAGTTTGGTCAGATCTTGAACGAGAGAATGAGGCGCGGCGTGTTACACTGAGGCAGGATTAAGCACTCCTTTGGCCAAACATAAGCAGATCCCACCCTTCACACACCTACACTGAGATGTTGAAATTCCGAAGACAGGCAAAACATAATCTCATAGTTATGACCAGTGCCAGACATCTGGACCAAAGCCTGTCCCCACCACCACACTGAGGGGTGGCGTGAGGAAAAGTCAGGTTGTCTGCCACTCAGCTCCCCTCTCTGTAAAAAGAAAACTAGTCCCAGAACACTCTGCCTCTACCTTCTCAGGCTGGCCCATGGAGACCACATGAGATCACGTCCCAAGCAGTGAACAACATCCCCTGAATGCACTTTCGTGGAGCCACGTGCGAGCGTCAGAGAAGGCAGAAATCCTCCCTGGCCTCTGCCTCTTCTCCCCTCAGACAGATCACATGAGAAAACACATGGTGAGAAGAAAGCACAACGTGCCAAACAGAACTAACTCCATGTGAAACCAAACCGCCGCCAAGATGCACTTCTGCTGCATTTTTATTTTTAATGACTTCTATTACACAAGCAATACATGCTCATTGTAGAAAGATGAGAAGAGTTAATTTGAAAATTTAAGAGAGAATTAAAATCGCTTGTATCCCCACCATTCAGAAATAGGCAGATGGGATGCATGTACACTTTAACAAAAATAGAAAGAAAGTATAAATACTGTTTATAACCTACTTTTTTCAATTACCAGCACCTTTTCTGCTCCTTACACAGTCTTTCTACAGTATTGCGTTAAATTGCCGTATCCGTTCTATTGTCAGGTCATACACCCTTTTTTTGGGAGCCAATCCCCTACTCGTCTATGATTATTTTACTTTTTCTCCATTCTAAACAATACTGCAATAAACATTCTTACAGCAAAATCTCTTCCCACACCTTAATTATATTTCCAATAAAATATCAAAGGGTATGGACCTTATCTGGATACTGATTTAAACAAACTGTTAAAAAAAGAATTCCATGTTGGAATGTGGAATCCATATTCAATTGGAAAATGTGAATACTAACTGGATGTTTGACAACACTTAGGCATTATTAGTTCTGATAATGATATTTTATGGTTATTCTTTTAAAAGAATATCCTTCAGAGGTAGACATGATAATATTTATGGATGAATGACATGATATCTGTGATTTTCTTCAAAATCATCTGGGGGTGAGTGGGTGGGGGGATCAAGGAAACAACGTTGACAGTGGATAATTGTTGGAGCTGGTGCTTGGAGATTCAGTAAGCCATTCTCTCCACTTTCATGCATGCTTGGAAGTTTCCATATTAAACATTATGTCCAAGCTGTGATTACAATATTAACGAAAGCAGTTATTAAGCTCCAAGACACAGTGCAAGGCGTGCAATTTTCACAACAATTTTGAGAGATGGCTCCATCAACCCCATCTTAAGAAGGTGGATGGATGGAACTGAGACGTAGTTCATAAGAAGGAAAACTAGATTCAAATTCAGGTCTGAGTACAAAGGCTGGATTCTTCACAGTAGAAGGACACAGAGAGAATACAGTTTGAGGTAACAGAGAATCAGGCTGTAAGTGAAAACCATCTCCAGTCTTAATGTCGCTTATGTACTTTATAAACTCGAAATGTTGACGTGTTTCCCTGTGGTTGACCCATGTGGCGATCTCATGGGTTAATGAATGCATACACATCCAGAGGGCCCACGAAAGCATTCGCTCACATGTGCTGACAATGACAGGAGGGGCAACGACTGTTCATCAGAACTGCATGGATTTCTCGGCGTTTATTTATCTTTTTGAAATTATGTTTAGACCTGCTATAACCTTCACCCGTCACCTATTTTGAACTTACTAAAGAGCATTACAGTGATTCTAAAAATTGGACACATTTTTGAGTATTCACTCAACTAAAGAATATAGTAAGTTTTTTGGCTTTATTTTTTTTACTTAAATATTTAACAATTAAAATTGTTAAAATTAAAAGACATGGGAAAATGCTGAATTATATTTAAGGACTCTGAAAAACTATGGGAGATACACTAAGGAAATGTTGGAGGGGCAAAAGAAACTCCAAGGGAAGAAGACTGAGAACAATGAAGAAAGAATCACAAGTGAAATGAGAAGTGGACTAACGTGATGGAAGCCTCGTGCTGGAGCGGTCACTAAGTCATACCTGCAGTGGAAGAGCATTATGTAGGAACAGTGGAATACCATGGCGCACTGCATGGCAAAACCCTGGGGAGAAGACTCAGACCTGGTGAATCCACAAACTGCTGCCGTGCTAGGAAGGCTTCCCTCCACTCACTCAGCGTTTGCCACACTTCACTCTATTATTAAGAGAGTTGCCTGCAGAAGAACCTATGGAGAAGACATATGAAAATACAACGCAAAGGATAAAAACGCTGACTGAAGGGAGGAGGGAGCCATGAAAATCATGTGGGGGAAGAGCATTCCAGGTAGCTGGTACAGAGGCCCTGAAGCGGGAGCATGCCAGATTGTTCCAGAAACAGCAAGGGGACCAGTGCAGCTGGAGTAGAGTGAGTGAGGGCAACACGGTAGGCTGAGGACCGAGAGTGGGTGAGTGGAGGGAGAGATTATGCAGGGCTGCATAGGCCACTCTGAAGCCTCTGGTTTTTGCTCTGAAAGGGGAAGCCACTGGCAGGTTAAAGCAGGGGCATGATGTGGTGTGAAATATGTTAATTATGCTATGTTGAGACTAGACTGAGGGGCCCGGGGGAAGCAGGGAGGCGAGTTAGGCTATTATAATATTCACAGCAAAGAATGATGGTGGCCTGGACCACCTGGGATGTGAGTGAAGGCGGTGAGGAGTGGTAAGGTTCTGGATACATCTGGAAGAGCTGACACGTTAGACGTACCGCGTGAGAAAAAGAGAGGAGTCAAGAATAACTTTTGACTTGAACAACCGAAAATTTTTGACTTGAACAACTAGAGGGATGGAGTTGTCATTCACTGAGATGGGGAATACTTTGGAGGAGTAGTTTGAGGAGGAAGATTGAAAGTCTGGATGTGGACCTAGGTTTGAGATGCCTAGAAGACATCCAAGCAGAAGTGTGGGATAAGCAGAGATATACACATGTGGAGTTCAGAGAGATCCAGACTGAGACAAGCACTGAGGAGTCATCAGCACACAGCACATGGTTTGAAACCAAGAAACTGGACCATTGCCAAGAGAGTAGGTATAAAGGAAAAAGGGAAGAGTTCCGAGGACTGAATCTTAGATCTCTCCACTGTTTAGAGGCCAAGGAGATGAGGAAGAACAAGCAAATAAATGATCTGCAAAATGATGCAAACAAATTAGGATAAATTACTGGTAGAGAACATGTACTAGCTTGAACTTGGATAGCATTCTCATACAGCACATTCCATTTATTCTACTGATACATATTCAAAACAGTTCCTTATTCATTTAGTATTGCCAACGCCCATCAAGAATTCACAGGAACGGGCTTTTGGCAGAATCTATTTATACCTTCCGCAACCTACATTTAGACCCAAAAAACTATATTTGTTCTTAAGAGTTTGATTAATAGTTTCACTAAATTATCAGAAAATAATGAGACTATTGTCTTTACTATGAAATATGTAAAAATAAAATGCAGTAAAATGTAATTAATAACAAATTAAGATCTGCTAGCACCACAGATGTGAT